CAGTGTATTGCTGCAGAAGACAAATAAAACATGAGACAGGTGTTTAGAAATAGTAGTTTATTTTGTTTGACCTGCATACTTATCTAAACAAGGTAAACTTTCAGAAAACAGCCCGGAAACATTATAATGCGCGCGTTCGTTAATATAACCCGCGGTTGTCTTCAACTGTTGTCCTTCTTTGCTCAACAACTCAGCTGAAAAACAAAGCAAAACATTACAACAGCCAGACAGAGCAAAGAGCATAGAATCACCAAGAGGCGACCCTGTAGTGCAATTTGGGAAACAGACACTAGATGGCGCGGCGGCTGTTTTATCAACACTATGAAGGATGCATCTCAGCTTTAACACGCTTTTTGAATAAATTAATAAAAAACAAAGCAGCTGCTTGCCATCGAGACAGCAATGAGATCCAATGGACGGCCGATCGCTTTCACTTCAAAATGGCGGAATCCGGGGGTGTTGCTGGGCGCTGCTGTTCTAATGCCTCTTGGTCATTCTGAACTCTTTGCATAAAGTTAAATAATAACAGTTACCATGGTTTCTATTTCAAACTATAGTAAACTAAAGTTTGAAACTATAGTTTAAAATAGACGATGAGTGGGCCTCGCTGCTCCCACCCACCTCTCAGCGAGGTCCCACTACCGGCCTCCCGTGTTTCCCTGAGGGTCCTTAGGGCTTGTTTGATCCCTGCCTAGGGCTCAAAAGCGCCTCGCCCCAGGGAGTGCACGAGTAAACCGGGCGCCAGGCCGTGTCAGTGTTCACTGGATGTTGCTCGGCGGCTCATTTCGAGCAACAAACACGTAATATTCTTTGCGATATTGCGTTTATGTACGCAAACCGCAGGGAACTACAGCACAGACGGGCCCGAGTGAAGCTTCACGAAGCGGACATCGTGAGATTGGCGTGGCTCCACTCGTACAGTTGGTATTGAACTCACCTTGGTCAAGTACAAACAGCAACACTGAGCGAACTGACAATGCTGAGAGAGAACCGACGAGCTTTATAGGAATGCAGATGCAAATTTTTACAAGACATGTCATTGCTTGGAGTCTCGTTGTCATGGTGAGCACTTAAGAGGGCTCACCTGATTGGAGCACATAGACTCGGGATTCTGCGTCACGGTGAGTTCAGGTCTGCTGTGGACAAAAACATATTAAATATATTCAATATAGTTTTTTACATTTTTGGTGCTGTGTAATATTCTGGGATGCTGTAGAATATGGAGACAGATGAATATAATTGGGTATATGGCGAGCTTAGTGTTGTTCCCATACTTATTAACTTCAGGTGACCTGTTATTGTGAGTTTTATTTTTTTTTTCATTGTATACTGTTCCTTTTACAATTTTAAAATACATACAGTTAAATAAACGTTGGCATTCATTTAGTTGTTCAAGCGTAAAACGAGACAAAATGCCTTTTACTCGCACTCGCCCGTCAGAATCGGCAGGCTAGCGAAGCTCAATTGAAAATACTGGGGTAAAATAAAAGCTCATATTATAAAGACATGGCGGGGAAAATGTAATTTAATGCAGTGCTTCTTGTACAATCGGCATATAGTGTTGGGCAGTAGCGGCGCTACTAGCTTAACTGCATTTCTCAGTAGCGTGGCTGTAGCGTCGCTACTTTCTAAATCAAATAGCTTTTCAGTAGCAAAGCTATTTTATTAGTCAAGTAGCGCAGTAGCGTCCACACAAGCTACATTTACAGATCGTGGATCAATAAGTGACGGCACCAACATTCACTGAGCTGTGAGGCCGGTGTCTAGCCGATGAAACTTCATGAAAGTAAATCCAGATCAATGACTGTAAAAAATATGGACGACGCGACAGCCCTTTTTCCCATTGAACGCCTTGAGGGCAAAACGCCTGCTTGACGGGCACAAACTGTCGCAAAAGACTGCTGAAATTGGAGCCAGTCATGCGCAGAAGGATTGTCTGATGGAGCCAGAGGAGGAGCCGCGAAAATGAGCAGAGTCGAGCTTCCAATCAAACGCTTTATGTAAAATCAACTACGCCCCCCGAACTTCTCAGCATGCGTTTGCTGTCATATCAACACAAATGGATGTAATAACGTTAACAAATATGAGGGTTTTATATATTCAATCGCGCCAGCTCCAGGCCGCAGCGCATAACTTACTCGCGGCGTCGCGGGCTGATTCCGGCTCGCATGCGGCAGCGCCTGCTCGCTCGGCCGCCGCATCTGGCTCGATTGACTCGGACTGGAATCGGGCAGTGAGTCCAGGCATCCGGAGTAGGTCCAGCAGAGGTAACATTAGTCAGTCTGAGCTCTAAGAGATAAGTCTCCGGCAGGCGAGAATCTAGCCGGAACTGTGTTTTGCTATCTGGGTGGCTAGGCATGTATCAGCAAACTAATAAAGCCCGAAAAAAGCCCTGAACTTAGCGAATAAACAGTGTTCCACCAGGATCATGTATGTCAGAAACTATAGTTTACTGCTGAACTCATTTTGTCATGGTAAAATAACATAGAAATCGAATAATAACATTTCAGTCTACTTCAGTCTCCTGCCGAAGCTCAGACGCCGCGCTTTGAGAAACTGTCAATCACAGTTGTCAATCACGATGACACGCCCAGCATTAAATTACTGCTAAAAACAAACTGTTTACAAAAATGAAGATCTGCACCTATTTCAGCACAATAACCAGTGCCTTAATCGACCAGAACTATCTTTCGGGACATTTTATTGCAAGTGTAATATTTTTTTTTATTTGGGCTCAAGTCTCCTTCATTAACACGGAGGAGGCGGGCTTTATGACTTGTACTGCAGCCAGCCCCCAGGGGGCGATCTAACGGCCGAAACCTTCACTCAAACGTAGGCTTGCGGCACACTTGATCCAGATAGGGAGAAGGATGATTTCTTCTTCTTTCTGTTTTTCGATGTTTGACAACAAACTTTTGGTGCGTTACTGCCACCTCTGGTGAAACTTGCTTGATGGAAAGATGAATGAGGGACAGTAGTTATTTCTGAAGCAGGATTCCTTGTGACCATACCTTGAGAAGTACATTTTAAGATGCAATAACTTAATTTCTAATGCTGTGCTCAAAAAATAAAAATACTTTAGTATATATAACACCATAATGCTTATTACAATATATATATATATATATATATATATATATATATATATATATATATATATATATATATATATATATATATATATATATATATTTCCCCTAACTATAAATGACTATAGTATTTTAAATGTGTAACATATATATTCCCATTGAACGCCTTGAGGGCAAAACGCCTGCTTGACGGGCACAAACTGTCGCAAAAGACTGCTGAAATTGGAGCCAGTCATGCGCAGAAGGATTGTCTGATGGAGCCAGAGGAGGAGCCGCGAAAATGAGCAGAGTCGAGCTTCCAATCAAACGCTTTATGTAAAATCAACTAAAAATATATATATATATATATATATATATATATATATATATATATATATATATATATATATATATATATTTTTTTTTTTTTTTTTTTTACTAATAAATATAAAGAATTTGAGCATGCATGAGCAGGGTTTGATCTTGTAAGGTTTGTAGTTTTATACACTAGCTCAGTGGTTCTCAAACTCTGGTACGTGTACCACTAGTGGTACAGGGGCTTCCTTCTAGTGGCACGCAGAGGAATCAAATATGTAATATATACATGCTACATACAAATATTTCAAAATTTATCAAACATGATTTACATATGAACATGACATATAATAATATTCATTATATGACATATAGCCTATATTTCTGAGGTCCAGGCAACATTTTCAGGTGTTGATGAATTGGCTACTATATGTTAATACTTTTACATTTAAGTACAGCACTTTTCTTTTTACCTTTTACACATTTTAATTTAAATGTTGATGTTTTTAGTTAGTTAGTTTTTTTACATATACAACACAGTACAGTGTTAGCGTTCAGACTATTTATGTTTAAAGTGGCTGACAATAATACATTTTCTTAATAGCAGGAATTAATCTGCCACGTTTTTGAACTGTGCAGAACTGTATCTGCTTTACTGAGCTTACTACGCTGTATTTCAATACTGCTCATTATGGTGGTACTTGGAGAGACAATTTTTTTCTGAGGTAGTACTTGATGAAAAAAGTTTGAGGAGCACTGCACTAGCTAGCAAAACTAAAGGTGTGAGGCAAAACCAACGAAGTGCCTTGGTGTAAGCATCCCATTATGTACAAACTACGATCTGATAGGCTACGTGATAACTAATCCTTAGTGTGGAAATCATGCACATTAAATGATATAGTACTCACAGAAGCTGAGAGAAAGACTGTACTTTACTCTTTGCAAATGTCAATAAAACATGCACTAACTTGAAATTAAATTATATACTGTGGGCATTTACTGTTTTTTTTTTTTTTTGTTTTTTTTTTTTGTAATTTTTAAAACATCCAACACAAAACAACTTTCCCAGCATAGCCTGGGTTTAGACTGTTTAAAAGGTGTAGATGTGCAACACCACTTCATATGAAACAAAAAAGTGAAGCTAAAATGTTTTAGGTATTGCAGCTGTCACCTCACACAGATGACGAGATTAGGAGCCAGATGCTCTGATGCAGAGCTAAATTCTTAATGCATGCTATCATAAACACCCCTGTTTTATACTAAACTAACTAATTAGTATCTAACTAAGTGGCTAGCTAGCAGCAATCATAGCTAACAGAAACAAATTGAACACAAAGTGTAGTTACTGTGATTCGTTTAATTTGGCTCAAGCTCCATGTGTTCATGAGACGTTTGTTTTAATAAACAAAGCACTTTAACCAGAAAACGTATAACCATTGTTTATGCATCGTGTTTCTACAGTTATGTATGTTTTAATGTAAAAACAAACAGGGGTAACGTCATCTTTAAAAAATATTCAAAATGCGATTACACAAACGTGTAGTAGAGACTTTTATTTTGACATATTTTCCAAACTCCATCTGACCCGGTGGTGATACAAGCGCATGAGGTTATTACAGAAAAACGTGTGCAAGCGCCTGGAAACTTCTAGCAAGACGCCACTCATTAATATCGAATCGCTTTTTCTCTAGTGAACTAGAGATTGCAAATAGTTTTAACCTAAAGTGTCTCACAGGATGTCAGTTATTGAAGAGGAGCGCGTCCGCGGCAGCGTTTTTAAAGATATTAATGCGGAAGATGAAGATCAGCAACCTACAGTCATCGAGAGTTTGTGCATGAACTGTTATGAAAATGTAAGAAGCTTACTTTTTTGTGATTATTAGAAGTGGTGATGGTGGTGGTGTTTTTCTTATACATTTTAAATTAAACAAATGTATTATATGCTTTTCAGGGAAGCACGCGTCTTCTTCTTACTAAAATCCCTTTCTTCAAAGAAATCATCATCAGCTCCTTCGCATGTCCACACTGTAACTGGTCCAACACAGAAATCCAGTCAGCTGGTCGGATACAAGAACAGGGTGTCCAGTACACCCTACAAGTAAAGACCAAACGGGTAAGGATGGACCTAACAGCAGAATGTTTAACATTAATTTGTTTACTAAACCATCTTTAAGCGAGCATGTCTTGTATGTATGTGCAGGACATGAACCGAGAGGTTGTGAAGTCTGACAGTGCGTCCACCAGAATCCCACAGCTTGATTTTGAAATTCCTGCTTTTACACAGAAGGGGTGTAAGTTGAATATTTTTATTTTGCCTCCTTCCTAGATGTTTTTATGTTATATACTGGGCTTGACATGAACTTTTTTTTGATCACCAGCCACTGTGACTAGTAGATTTCCAGCATTACTAGCCACTCGCCATTTCCACTAGCCACACTTTTGTTGGAAAAATATAGTTTATATGCATAAATTTGACTTCGACATGCTAAAATTATTTGATTTAGGTTTTGTGTTATGTCCACTTGCCTTCTCATTCATTTCACAATTGTTTTGTATTGTGTATGTGAGCTTTCTCAGTGTGTATGATCGAACAGGTGATGTCGCATTGCAATTAGTTTTTATTTTACACGACTTTTCTGGGCTCAATATTAAGATTTACCAAATGTATCCTTGACCACACCAAAAATAAATAAGTAATTATTTCTTAGCCGAAAATTTTAAATGTGTTAAAACAAGCAAAATATAGCTGTATACATCCACTTTGTATTTAACAAAATTTTTGTTTTGTTTTTAAGATTTAAAAAAGAACTATTGCCATGTATCTAAAATATGCACAGTAATCTGTCTTGGTTAAGGGTCCCAGATCACCAGTTACCTACACATAAATTGGGAGTAATCTCCCATTAAAGCAATGTTATTGTAAAAAATGATAATTAAACCATATTAACAAAAATAACTGTAAGCAAAAGAAAACGGGTGAAAAACATACTGTGTGTGATAATGAAAGGAGGATCGCACGCACACAGTTAATGTTAAGCCTGGTAATAATCTGTTAAAAGAATAATTCAAAGGAAATCAGTGACTGCAGCTGCTTACAAAAAGATTATATATACATCCATGCATACATGCATATATCGCTTGCGCAAACGCAGTTACTTTTGTCAGTCGTGTTGCTTCTCAATTTTAAGATCGCCTTTGCATGCATGTTGGATCATCCTTAAGGTCGAACCCTGCTTTTAAGAATTATTATTCGGGAAAATTATTTTTTAACCAGTCAAAGTGGCTAGTGGGAGTGTCTGTTTTACCCGCCACGCTGAAATCTACTCGCATTTGGTGGGTTGGCGGGTGTTAATGTAAAGCCCTGGTTATAAGTGTAAGTTCTGGTTGATTTAAGTGCAGTTGGGTCAGAGAAAGAAAAGCATGAAAAACAACTGTTGCTGTCCATTTAAAATGTTTTTACATTTTTAAAAATAGTTTCTTGGAATAAAATAATCTAGCCACTGTGTGTGTGTGTGTGTGTGTGTGTGTGTGTGTGTGTGTGTGTGTGTGTGTGTGTGTGTGTGTGTGTGTGTGTGTGTGTGTGTGTGTGTGTTTATTTCTATACTTTGTCAACATCATTTAAGCCCACTTAATTTTGCCCATTTCATAGCAAAGCACTTGTAATAATATAAAAGTGTTTAGTATAATCACTCATCCTTTTTTATACAAGTTTAAATTTAAACTTCAAAATACCTTTGACCCAGTAGCAGCCGTGAGTTTTGTATTATGTATCATCTACAGAATGTTATTTTGTTAAAAAATAATCTAACATACTTTTTGTCTGTCCAAATGTGTTTAGCTTTGTCAACAATCGAGGGCCTTCTGGACAGAGCAGTGGCGGGTTTAGAACAGGACCAACCTATAAGAAAGGTGTGCACCTCAACAGCATGAATATATGCCTTTATGCTTGGGGTTATATTATAAATTATATTATGTACTTGAGTTGAAGAAAACATTTTAAAGCATCAAAATAAACTAATATTATTTTAAACATCTTGCCCTCTTGATTTTTTTTTTCATTTTAATTATATGTATGTAATTATCTGAGTGAAAAATGTCAATTTCCCCCCATGATTTATAGAAGACACCCTAAAGTTTAATGTCAGATATGTTTAGAACTGTTTATGGTAGTGGTGTCCAAACTCAGTCCTGGAGGGCCGGTGTCCTGCATATTTTAGTTCCAACCCCAATAAAACACACCTGAATCAGCTAATCAAGCTCTTTCTAGGTATACTAGACCACCAGGCAAGTGTGTTGGAGGAAGTTGGAGATAAACTATGCAGGACACTGGCCCTCCGTGTCCAAGTTTGGTCACAGTTTGGTCATTTTGGTCACAGTGCACCCCAAAATACTTTAGTCATTGTAGTTATTTATTTTTTAAACCCATCCTTCAATTCACTAGGTTTACCTATTTGTCAGCAACACGTTTTACATCCTTTATAATATAATATATAATTTAGTTTTAATATTTTTTTATGTAATATGTATTTTAATATGCACAATATTTTGTTTTATTTTGACAAACCCATTATGCTGAATTAATTTGGAGTGAAGGATTGTATTTTATTTTCACTTGCATTTAACATTTTGTCTGTGGAATTTTTGAATCTTTTGTAAATTTAATGTGATGTGGACAGCAGTCATATCTACTTTGACCTGTCTACAATTTCAACCAAATCATAATTAAGCCAAATTATTAAAATCCTTGTTTATTTTTGTTTTTCATAATGTATAATGTATTCAGCTCTGTTTTTGTGACCATTCCATTCATGTCGCAGGCAACAGATCCAACTGTAGCTGACAAAATAGAGGAATTCATCCAGAGATTGAAGAAACTTAAGGAAGTAGAGGATGAATTCACATTAGTAAGTCTCACAGAAAGTGAACTGATAAAATATTGCACCCTTGACAGAATTAATCCACATTTTGCCTGTTCATTATTGCTATGCTGGAGCTAATAAATTCCTCATTTGACTTCTATCTACAGATTATTGATGATCCATCAGGGAACAGTTTTATCGAGAACCCATTTGCGCCTCAGAAAGACGCTGCTCTGTCTGTGACGTATTATAAAAGGACACCTCAACAAAACGCTTCTCTAGGTATAGAGGTGAGAAACTGCTACAGCATCTGTACTGCTGAGAAAATTGTAGGGTCCTTGCTAGTAATGTAACTGGAAACTTTGAATGCACATGCTTTGATTCATTCATTAGAGGAGCGCGTTTCTGTTTAAAGCCATGATGACTAAATTAACACTGGCCTCACGTTGATTTCAAGGCGTGAAGGCATCTAGGCTGAATCCAAATTCTGCTTCACCTTCTTTCACCAGAGGTTTTTCTTCCTGATCAAATTTTGATCACTGCATAGATTTGTCCTTCCCTGCCTCTGATATCTCACACAAAACCGTTCCTTCCATTTCTGACAAAAATATTAATATTGTGTCTTAAAGCTTTGCTTGGGCATCTGTTTTGATGTAAAAGTATGTTTTTGATTGACGTTTTGCACTTTTGATAGCATTTCTAGCAAGATGTTAGTATTGTAGTAAGCAAATATTCCTTTAGTTATTCTCAAAGCTCTGTCTTTTGTCATACATGATTAAATCATTATGCTGTCTTGGAAATCTTCTTGCCTCTAAAGTCACTTCCTGAAAGGGCAGCAAGACAACGTCCGCACTGTAAGCTTTTCTTTCAGGTTTTCAAACAGGTTTGGAGCAAATGTTGGTAATCGCCTATGTTATTTTCAATCAGAACACCCAATATCTCAGTTGGTGTTGACGACTCGTCGGCGATTCTCTCACATCACATCTTTGATAGTTCACACTGTGTGATTAAGGGAGATTTTTCAAAATCAGGGCTATAATTGTGCAGTTTAAATTAGGCACGGGACTATAACTAGATTCAAGGTTTACCGCGGTTTGGAAAAGACAAGGTTTTTAAACCGCTCAAATGTTATACTTGGTGTGTCCCAAATCGCATTCTTATGCACTATTCTAAGCCATTTTGTAGTATAAATAGTGTAAGTAGTGCGTTCACACTGAAAACCCTAAAAATATAATAAGTGCACTTTAAATACCCAGATGATGCACTCATTCAACCGGCAAAATGAAGTGTGGAATGATGGGTACTCCACACACTCAACAACCCCAGGTTTGCTCACGTAGCGGAATGGGCGGAGCTATCGAGCGCACGTGTTGGATAACTATTTTGGATGGTGAAAGCAAAATTTTCCTATGAGAGTGATTATGCCGCCTCCCAGTGGTGAATGCTGTTATACTCATGGCAGGCATTATTTGAGACACTGCTCGCTGTAGAGCAGGGTTCACCAACCTTGTTCCTGGAGAGCTACCTTCCTGCAGAATTCAGTCCCAACTCTGATCAAACACACCTGAACCAATTATTAGTACCTAAAGCAGGACTTGATAATTACAAACAGGTGTTTGGTCAGGGTTGCAACTGAAATGTGCAGGAAGGTAGCTCTCCAGGAACAGGGTTGGTGACCCCTGCTGTAGAGCCACTTGGGCTCCAACGAGGGGGAGCTCTAACTCCTCCTCCTATAAGCTGTCTTAATGTGTACACCCACCCCACCCCCATCACTTGTAGAAGAAGTGCAAGGAAGAAGGAGCTGGAGCTCAAGCTCTGCTCAAGTGGCTCTATAGTGAGTATCACTTGGATTATTTGGTAGTTTGTTCATTTATTTCAGTGATTTGGCAACCGGCCAATGTCATCAGTGAAATGGTTTGTATTTTCGCTTAGTATAAAAAACATTAGTTCTCCATTTGGGACAAGACTACATACATGTACTATGCTGTTGAGTGTGTAAGTACATGAGTGCATAGTGTACCATTTGGGATGCAGCAACTGTTTGTAAGGGTTTTTAAATGGGTTTTTTATGTGTTGTGTAATCTGTTTTTAAAAACTTATGAAGAGGGAAGAAGTCCATCATTTATTTTAACAATTTACCCTGACATTTTTGCAAAAAAAAATGTGTATATATATATATATATATATATATATATATATATATATATATATATATATATATATAGAGAGAGAGAGAGAGAGAGAGAGAGAGAGAGAGAGAGAGAGAGAGAGAGAGAGAGAGAGAGAGAGAGGTTTAATGAAGAATTTTTTTTTTTTTTTTTACCCAGACATGTAAAAAAAAGAACTTATTTTAGAGCAGTAATCTCAATACTTTCATACTGTAAAACAATGATTTTATCCATCAAAGGTTATCATACCGTCAGAATTCTATACTGGCTAGTTTGAACTCTGCATTAGTTTTTGGATGAACTGTTTAAAAAGTGCAGAAATGCAAAATCTGTTTCTTTAATCATCTCTTTTATTTTAGGTTGAAGAAGAACAAGCAGATGAGAGTCCTGGCAATGATCTAGACACCCTGAGGAATGAGGTATTAGTGTTCAACACTAACTGCCCAGAATGCAACGCTCCAGCTAATACAAACATGAAGCTTGTCCGTATCCTTTAAAGTATGCTAGCATACAGCATGCACTTTGATGTTTGTTGTGCATTAAATTGCTATTCACATAGTTTTCCATCATTTTAATAGATCACCAGATTTTTTTCAAGCCAGGGGAAATTGTTGTTTTCACCAAATGATGTCACAAGGGAGCCCTTGGAGATTTTTTAATTTGAAACAAAGCAATTTGTGGCTTAAATGAGCATTTTAGTGTAAAAACGGCACTGCATTGGGGTAATTGGTGCATTAAGTCCTTTTCAAATACCTTGTTATAATTTTAGCAAAACAATTTATTGTTCCTTTAATCCAGTTGCAGAAATTCCACACTTTAAAGAGGTCATTATAATGGCCACTAATTGCGATAGCTGTGGACATCGCACCAATGAGGTAAAAGTAATAAACCACGCTATGCTTCTCTTCTCAATTTTTTTCACTGATCTCGTCTTGTATACCAACCTTTATCACTGATCATTAAATAGGTAAAATCAGGAGGAGCCACAGAAGAGCTGGGAACCAGAATAACACTACACTTAACAGATCCTTCAGATATGTCCAGAGACCTGCTGAAGGTGAGTTTGATCGCTTGTGTTTGGAATAGACTACTGTGTTTACACTAGCAAGGTAATCTCAATGAACGTGTTTTTGGCAACCTCCTAAAGTAGTCAACATGGCTTTACACCCTGTCTACATATGTGTTTAGCATGGTTTAAGTTTATTCATTTGTATAGAACTTTAAGACAATTATTTTTCCAAATCAGCTTTAAAAGAGTTGTTTATTACTACATTAGTCTAAATTAAAAAAAGTTAAGGAGTTGTGTATAGGGTGGACAGTATATAAACATGGACATCCTGCAGTGTTCTTTCAAAAGGTGAGGTATATGTGTATAGTACATGTTCAATGATATGTATTAAGTGCTTGTGTTGTCCACATGTGATTATGGTTGGATGTCATTCTTTTTTTTTTAACAATACCAGTGTAAAATTCCTGCTCAGTTACTGTACTTACTGGTGCCTGAAATGATTCTTTAAAATAAAATCCACAAAGTTGTTGAATGACATAAAAGGGGTTATTTATTGCAAAAATATTTTAACTGAACATTACTTAATGTATTTACCTCATTCTCCGCCGACGAGCGGGCTCTGCCATTTGAATCTTTTTGGCTTGACTTGAATCTTTTTTGACATCCGGTCTCATTCACTTCCATTCAATTTTTGACGTTTAAAAACTGCTCTTTACGCTGCTTGATGTTGCAATTTGATATTTTCTTATTATATTGTTCTACTTGGTCTGTATAGTCATGCAAACATTTGTTTGTAGAGCAAGTAGTTTGACTGTTTTCTGCCGTTTATTATTCCTAGTCATTTCTCCCATAGGCGACTGAATCGAAAGTTCTAAGACAATCGTGAAAACAGGCACACGTCCGCATTTTAGAATAAGGTCAATACTTAAATGTTAAACACATAACATTTCCATTGCAAATTCACACAGCCATAAACCCAACCACAATACTAAATCATAATTACAGTACTAATAACAGCTGTTTAGTCAGTGTCTTTGGAATTTTTCATCGAGGTTATGCATGACACCTGGTTCAGTACACAACCCTATTTGTAATTGAGTTGAAGAAAATGTAATGTTAGCATCAGGTGTAAATTGGAACTCATCATTAGGATGTGTGTGTTGCAGTCAGAGACATGCAGTGTGTTGATTCCCGAGCTGGAGTTTGAGTTGGGAATGGCGGCTCTCGGAGGGAAGTTCACGACGGTAGAGGGGCTGTTGAAGGACATTAAAGAACTGGTGAGAAATCAAAGCTACACTAACGGCTTTGGTTGTCATTAACAAACAGCTTGTTTTATGCTTGTTTTGAGCAATTCCATGCAAATGTCAACCTCGCAATGAAAAAAAGGTTTTGAACAAAATAGCGAAACCCTTTCTAAGTTTGTGTAAGCAAATATTTTACATTACTGTAAAATGCTCAAATGTATCTGTCAGTGTTTTCAAACAATTATGTTTGATTTACCAAAGTCACACAAGTGGCAGTTTCACATCTGTTACATCAATAACCGAGTGGTGTCACATCCATAATGAAGATTTTCCACATAAATGCAAAAATATAAAATAAAGTTAATCATTTCTGTTTCATAGTGAGCCAACTCTTATCCTTTTGATCACCAATGTTTCTTTTGGATTGTGCAGTTTAATTCATAGAATTTCTACAAAGTTTGTTGTTTACTGTAATCTCCCAAATGTGTTTGGTCACATCTGAAATGCATGTTTATTTTCCTCATTTAAAATATAACAAATGTTTACAGATTGATATTTTTCTAATCCCATAACTCCGTGGTTGGTTGTTTTGGAAAAAATAAACATGTTTTAATCTAATATTAACATATGTGAATTTATGTTTTGAGATTTTACTGCAAATGTCACATCCATAATGCTGGAATTGCTCTTGTGCTTTTTATGGTTCTTTTAGATTGTTTCGAAAAACCCCTTTATGTGTGGAGACAGCTCTGCATCTGACAGAGTGGAGAAGCTGCAGCTGTTTGGACAAAAAATCGACAAGGTTTGAAATAGTTTACTTGTTAATGTCACTTAAAAGCTTCTCTAATAAAGTTTTTTTTTTTTTTTTTTTTTTTTTTTTTTGCATAAATTTAAAAATATTTCCTTTTTTAGTGCTGCTTACTTAAATATCATGGTTATTCCAACAAGTATTGAATTCTTAATTTACCAGAAGTTAAAACACTGGTGTTGTGTTGTCTAAAATTCAATATAAACATGTATAAAGATGACATCTTGTTGAAATTTTATGTAGAAAATAAAGGAGCATAAATAAAATGCTTTGACTTTTTTTTTTATTTGGACCAAATGTTGTCAGTTTTCAGAACTAAACAATATGTAATGCAATGTTGTACTTGAGCACATAACTGTAAATTGTAAATTCAGAGAAACTAAAGCCAAGTTCAGACTGCATGATTTTAGCCCAGATTTTGACTCGCCTACAGGTTTTAAGAAACCGCAGACAAATGCCTGGAATCATAGGCAAATCGGTGCTCATTCACGTGAGTAAAGCCTGGTTTATACTCGACGCGTCCGCTTGCTCGCTTGAGTGCGCACGGCAAATGTGACGTCATCGCGGAGTTTGCGGAGGTTCGCTTTGGGTGCATGGTTTCGGCTGGCGGTGCGTCGGGCATTTTTTGAGACTCGATCGAAGAGTGCACACGGCGCCGCAACTGATTTGAGTTGAGTATGAACCACTTTGAAGAGATTTTATGTAAAACAGTCCGACTGTATACGCATCTTATGACCCGTGATCAGAGAGAAAACCAGATAATCAATAATTCTTGGCTAGAAATTGCAACAGCCATGGGAAAGGAGAAAGTTTTTGTTAAAAGGTTTGGAAAAACCTGAAGAATAAGTTTATTAAAATCAAAAGAGGCCATGGCAAAATGTATACAATTACAGAATGTTTTTCCACCAGTCATAGGTTTTGCACTGATGTATTTTGTTTAATTTTGTATTAAAAACAATTTAATAGTTACAAAACTATAATGAAGTCACAAAATTATTTTTGATAACTGGAAAGTAATACAATTGACTGATGCCATGTTTCTCTGGGCTTTATTGTTGATAATGGTCAGGAATGTTGGACCATCACTGTCTTTATTAGCATAAGAATAGGACAGAAACTAGCCAGACAGTAATGTGTGAATTGTGAAGCGGGCTAAATCTAAAAACATTTGTGTTTTTTAGTAAGTGTGCTTTTTTTCTTTTATTTTTGCGATAATAAAACATTTATTTGTAGAGCAACTCATGTTCTGTTGTCATTAATAATTTAATAAATTGTAATAGGTATAACTGTCCGAGATATGAACAAAAGCAAGTGATGACCAATAATTATTTGCTAGAAATAACAACAGCAGTGGGAAAAGAAGAAAGTTTATGTTAAAAACCTAAGGGATAAGTTTATGCCAAAAGAAATCATAGCAAAAGTGGAGACCCAGGTACACAATTACAGAATATGTTTATCCACCAGTCATGGCTTTTACACTAAAGTATGTTATTGGATCGTATTTGTAATACATCTGTTTTTTTTTAGTAAGTGTACTTTTTATTTTTTGCTTTTATCCTTGCCATAATAAAATTATATTTGTAGAGCAACTCATGTTTTCTTGTGATTTTAATATTTTAATAAACTTTAAAAGGTAAAACTGTCAGAGATATGGACAAAAGCAAGTGATGCATCAAAGTTTGATTTAAAAAATCTTAAAGGTTATAAAAATGCTTATAATCATTAAAATAATTTATAAAAACAATACAAATAATTAGTTTAAAAATATTGAACTACATTATGATATGACGTACTTCCAGAAAGTTCCTACTTCTCTTTTTATCCGTCTGATTTTAAGGTGGGTTTCTTTTGACCGCCCCTGTCGTTTTAAAGAATATCACAACGGCGAACGCGGCGAGTATAAAAGGCTTGGCCGTTTCGTGAGGGGCGCGCGCAGTTAGTGGAGGTGCGTGCTGTCAAAGACGCAATCTAAGAAGAGTCGCTGACACCGGTGAGATATTTGGTATGCTAAAGATCTGTATCATGATTCATAATCATGCTGTGTGAAATGTATTCGGATTGAAAATAATATCAGCGATTATCTACGGCCAATGAGAGGACAAATAAGTACATTTTTACCCCACTAAAGGCTTCTTTCTCGTTGTGTAATTAATAACTAAATATATACTGTGTGACCTCACGTTGTTTCCATGTCACTTCTCACGTGTTTAGTTGCGAGACATAGTTTGCAGACCAAGTTGTCAGATTCTTTCTATTGTAAAGTCATGCATTGTAAAACCCCCTGCCACTGATCCATCTTGGAGTGTAAACAGCAGCGACTGAACGCTAGCCCAGACAGTCATGCAGTGGGAAAACATCTGTGACGCCACTACTTTGAAAATCATGCAGTCTGAACTCAGCAAAAGACTTATGTAGTGGTTGTCAATGTTTTTATATATATATTTTATAAATTATTTCAACAAGCCACTGTTTATTAATAAAGGAAGGTATTAACCACATTGCTATTTGTATTTACTGTTCTAAATTAACAAGGTGTTGAATTTATATAAATGTTTCCTAGATAATGGCGGGAGAAATGGATGTGCATATTGTCCTGGATGATCCAGCAGGAAATAGCTATCTTCAGGTAGTTAAACTGTAATATCCTGTGTGAATGTAATTTATTCATTGTTTTATTTTTTTTTTTAAAGTGCAAATATATTACATCGTATTCTTTTTGTGAGCGCTAACCACCTCGCTTTTTGGAAAAAATATGGAAAACTGGACTGAAACAGTTTCCATTTACTACAACTTCTATGTTAAGCTGCTTTGACGCAATCCAAATTGTAAAAGCGCTATAGAAATAAAGATAAATTGAATTTTTTCTCTCTCTTTTGCAGAATGTTTATGCTCCAGATCCAGACCCAGAAATGAAGATTGAGAAATACACCAGGACTTTTGAGCAGAACGAAGACTTGGGCCTCAATGACATGAAAACAGAAGGGTACGCAGAGAAATAGGCTTGAAGTCAGAAAAAATGGAGATTATATGTTGCTAATGGCCAAATTCTGTCAAATTCACCATTATGTACCATTATTTAATTCAGTTTTACATGTAATTGTAATATCCCATGTAATTAACACTTCTGCTGTCGTTAAAGTCAGCTTTATTATTTAAGAAAAGAAATACAGCTGTTTTGGCTTGAATGAAAGTGCAAGGTTGTGTATTTTCCTTGCTGCCTATAAAGTAATTTTTAAGTTATAAGTTTTGGTCGTTGTGTTAATAAATAATGTAACAACAAAAATTGTTACTACGTTTTTGAAGTACTTAAAACTACAGACACTTAAAGTAGTCTTAAGCACACTCCAGATGTGAATTCTGCGGCCACATTATTTCCTTTCAATGTAATTAGACTGACTCATTAAGGGTGTAACATGTAAAGGTTTGTGTTTGGACAATAAAACACTTTCAAATATGTAACAAGTATGGTGCTGGTTTATTTACACTTAGCTTTTCCAGTTCAGTGAGACGTCTAATTAACTTGTGCTTCAGCAGACATCAAAACAACAGTGTTAAAGCTTATAATAGATTTTATGACTGTGCTGGAACTAGGGCTGGGCGATATAACAAGCATACGATCTCGATTTATTCTTTTCCATATTGAACTATAATGATATATATTTCGATATCAGTTTCCTATTCCTTCAGATTTAAGAGTATCCCAACAATGACTGAAGCCACACAGTGTTTCCTCTAGTAGTTTTTCCAGCTGAGGTGTCAGGCCTTTTTTTACACAGGTATACCAAATACCTGTGGCGGTATTTCAATGACAAATGTAAGCGCGGTATTAAAAGTCGAGATCGCATTTATGTAATAGCCTATGAGCATGCGGATCTCTTTGCTTGCACGCCGATTTCCTCTGCTGGTGTACAAAACTTATTGCACCCCCCTCAAATATGAGCTGCTTCAAGAGCGCGCTCTCAAATATACGCTGCTGAAGTGCAATTTAGTGAATTTATGTAACGAGTATGTCTCCAGAATTTATTAGATTTGCTAGGAATATTTATGAACATCTCTAATAGACCTACAGAGTAGCATTAATGCGTCCTGAAGTGAAACGGCTATACGTCGTGTTTGCTGGCCTCACGCATCATGCACCTGTCAGTCAGTCAGCACGTCACCTTAAAGAGTTAAACAAATGACGCACAGCACTGCTACAGTTACAGAAAAGTTTGCGCTGTTAGAATTCACTTATCCTTTAATACGTTTTGGTGCGATTATTACCTATTAAAAAAAATAAAATGTTTTGAATGAGAAGCTATGATGTAGCCGTGGTGGGATGAATTTTGGCATGGCGCACCGCCATGGAAGAATAAATGTAGCGGAAACCATGCCACATATTAGAAGGTCAATTAAATATCATAGCATATATTTGGTGGCCGATAATGTTTGGCAGATGAAAATTCTGTGCATCTTTAGTTTCAACTCACTTCTAGATTCCCATTGTTGCACATTTCTGCTGTGTGATTGGGTCTTAGTAGGGTTCATGAAAACCTGGAGAAGTCATGGAATTTTGACATGGCACTTTTCAGGTCAGGAAAGGTTTTGTAAAAACAGAAAAACCCATGAGGTTTTGGAAAAGTCATGGAAATTACATTTACATTTCGTATTTTAGGAGACATTTTGTCTAAAGCGTCTAAAGCTGCGATCACACTAGAGAGTATGTGTTTGCAAAATGATAAGACGTTAATAAAAGTGAGCGATTGCTCCATCTTTTAAGTGATCTTCTATTGGTCTAACGCAATCACATGATGCGATTTCGCAGGTAAGAATTCACCAAGCTTGGACTTTCGAATGCAGTGAAAATTTGTCGCATGTGCTTGCGTTTCTGGTCTGCCACAGATTTACCTACTATTACTAGTTTAACAAATCATTATCATCTAAAATTAGTTTGACAAATATCTCTATACTGGCTTCATCTATTGTACATAGATATAAAAATAAATTGAAACTAAAGAGATTGTTGCGTGTTTTATGATATGCTGTAATAAATGTAAACGTTTCTTATGATTTACCACGTATACGTAGACATTACATGAAATATTGGGTCATGAAAATTGATTTGAAAGTCCTGGAAAGATCATGGAATTTTTGTTGTAAAAATATGTACGAACCCTGGCTTGGATCAATATAGAGTAAAAAAGTCAAGAGCTTATTGTTATTGACATCAGTTTTATACCAATTCGATATAATATTTATCTGCCCAGCCCTAGCTGGAACATGGTTACAGTGCTGAAATTGCACTGTTTATTTACATTTATCTTGTGTTTTTATATAGTTTTTTTAAAATGACCAGAGATCAGTTAAACCAAAGTTAGCATTCTTTAAATTGTCGCTTTTATTTCTACTGATAAGATATTTATTCTTTAGAAATTCTTAGTGGCATTTGTTACTTTTATTATTTTTGATAAAGGCAGTAAATATTTTATTTGCTAGTGGGTTATAAAAAAATCTGCTAATTTAATCGTATGTGTAGTAAATATTGTTGCTTGCTTGAGATTTTTTTTTCTAACACCATAAGCACAGCACTGGTAAGTAAATATTATTACTGTCAACTTGGTGTGTTAAGTGTCATGTGATGTCAACATGGAGATGCCCACAGGACTCAATCAGCATACAAAAAATAAGCTAAATAATTAGACAATACCTTTATAACATCTTAATCACTAACCATTTTCCTGTTTTTATTATAGTGTTATTTAATTGAGAGTTTTGACAAATAAAGGCTAAGTGTACCTTTCCTTCTGTAGCATAATTGGAGCTTCTGTTTCTACTATTTCAGTCATGCAGCACAATGCAGCTCAGAGAAAAACAATGAATCAAAGGTCTTTGTGCCATCCACTGGCTCTTAACATTTATTCAAACAACAACATAACCACTGAACAGCAGATTAAAGGACATGACTTTCATGTATTTTAAAGCAGTGACAAATAAAAGGCAACCAACATTGGTCCATGTACAATGAAAACACTGATGTTCATTCACCCCACAAATGGAGTTGCTTTTTTTTCTCTCAGCAAGGAAAGTCCACCGTGATGGCAGGTTTAATGTCTCGTGGCCATATATAGCCAGTGGTGGTGTAGGTCTCTTTCTGTTGTGTGAGGGAGTGCGTCAGTCCAAAACATCAAAAAAAATAAAATAAAATAAACGAAAGTTTACAAGATGCAGCTGTCGTCTTCATTAAAACAAACACAATAAACGTGAAGTAGGGAACAGAACATTACTCGGACTAGCTGCGTTTGTGTCATTGTCCATGGTCGCGAAGCCCCGTTTACTTGCTCTTGGCTGGCTTCTCGGTTTTCTTGGGCAGCAGCACTGCCTGGATGTTTGGGAGCACTCCGCCCTGGGCGATGGTAACGCCGCCTAAAAGCTTGTTGAGCTCCTCGTCGTTTCGGACAGCCAGCTGTAGGTGCCGGGGGATAATTCTTGTTTTCTTGTTGTCCCGGGCTGCGTTCCCGGCCAGCTCGAGGATCTCAGCCGTCAGGTACTCCAGGACAGCGGCCAAATACACGGGGGCTCCTGCGCCTACGCGCTCGGCGTAATTTCCCTTGCGTAGCAATCTGTGTACACGTCCGACTGGAAACTGAAGTCCAGCTCTGGATGAACGAGATTTGGCCTTCGCGCGGGCCTTCCCTCCGGTTTTACCTCTTCCAGACATGTTGTGACAACAAAGGAACCGGCTGTTTGGCTGGTAACGTCCTGTTTGGTGCTGTTGGTCAAATGCGCTTTCGCTTATGATGTAAGCAGGGATTGGTATTTATACCCGGACGTGTTCTCTGACTGGATGGATGCAGTGTAAAGCAACCGACCAATCGTAGCGTGAACCTCAGTCCGTGACGTTCAAATGTTGTCCTATGAGAACAGCGATTTTCCTTACTCCTATTTGCATGCCGACTCTATAAATAAGGGGCAGAAATATACGCAGCGCGTTCGCATACCTTAACCGTCCCGTGACAGCTGAGCTGAGCTTTCGTGATAAATCGACACGATGCCCGAACCTGCGAAGTCAGCGCCCGCTCCCAAAAAAGGCTCTAAAAAAGCTGTCACCAAGACCCAGAAGAAGGGGGATAAGAAAAGGCGTAAGACCAGGAAAGAGAGTTACGCCATTTACGTGTACAAAGTACTAAAACAAGTCCACCCGGACACTGGCATCTCCTCAAAGGCGATGGGCATTATGAACTCATTTGTAAACGACATCTTCGAGCGCATCGCCGGAGAAGCGTCGCGCCTGGCGCATTACAACAAGCGCTCCACTATCACATCCCGGGAGATCCAGACAGCCGTGCGCCTGCTCCTGCCCGGAGAACTGGCCAAACACGCAGTGTCTGAGGGAACAAAGGCCGTGACCAAATACACCAGCTCCAAGTGAAAGTGAGCGGCAGACGGACTGGACTGTATTCTTATGGATGGCAGATGAAAACCGTCCGCATGAAGGACCTCTGGTACATCTTGAGCTCTGGAGGAGCACATACACACGGTGCTTTCCATCTGTAACACAACATTCACCTGAGGTTGTTCCTGTTTGATCGTATTTGCACGTGTGATGAACACTTGTTATGTACTATTCTGGCATATGCCCGTCATTTGTTTACCCATGTGGCTGTAAAGTCAAATTCCTGGAGGAAATCACTGTGGCTTTGGTTTTTATTGATTCTTGTTGACAAAAAATTGCTGTACTGTATTCATATCGAAGAAAATGTCTTAAGCCTAAATGTTTCTTCATACATTACCTTGGTATTATTTACCCCAAATAAATACACTGGTTAATTGTAGCCGTCTTCCTGTCATGTAATATATAGCTTATTACATGGGCAAAAGAGAGCTTGCAAAGTATCGTTCGTTTCCGCAGTATTTATTCAGAGGATGCTGAAATGGAGGTATTCTTGCAACACTGTTGCCGTATCTGTGCAAAAGTTTAGACGTGCACCAATAGACACTTGGCTTGTGAACAGAAGTCGTCTTAGGATGTAACCATAGCAACAGTAAGGCAGGCTGGTTGAGAATTGGAGGACTCATGAACAAAACAGAAACTGTAATTTATGATTCTCGCACACACATACATACAGCCATCAAACTATTCTCCTTGTTTGATTGGAGTCTTTTAATTTGCAACTAATGAACGTTTTATTTAATTGAATACGAATGTATGCATACAATTGGGTGAAAATGAATCGAGTAAAATATACAGTTACTTAAATTAATGTAATAATCTTTTTTACAAACCTTAAAACGGCTATATGCAGAACTAAAGCCTATGGCAAGCCTTTCAATTAAAATAATATATATATTTATTTTCATGCTAAAATTGGTTATCTTTTATTTTAGCACTGTGATGCTTTTTTTTTAGAGGACCTATAACCTTTTGAAGAGACACTAGTACTCTACATGCTTTTGTTTATTTAGCTGGCCTACGTTTGTACTTTAGGTGAACAATTATTCTGTGCAAGTTAATCCACTGAAAAATGTTTGTTTCGGTAATCTTCAATCAAATCTGACTGTTTGCTTCCGAGTTTGGAAGCGCAGTGCTATTCCGTTGACAGCTTCAGCCACTATATTCTTAACCACGCCCCTTTTTATCTTTAGTTTGCTTTAATGAAAGAATGTGCCCCGCCCCCTACTCATTCAGTTTCAGTTTTAAGCACCTTCTGAACCACAATTCTCAGCAGGTTCACGTGAACTTTAAATAGATAGTAACATTACTTGCAATATTACTTAGTACAATTCTATTACTCCATTATAATATGCATTTAGCACCTATTATGATATTACTTATTCATTATATGCCAGTGCTTATTTCTAAAGTGACTCGTAACTATTTTGTTTTTTGTAGTAACAAGTTTTGTGGGGTATCGGTTAGTCAACTTTGACTTAATATATTTACAAACCATTTGTATAATGTAGCTTTAATTCAAGAGTTCAAAGATTCCCTTGAAAGTACTAAAGAGGTAATTTCAGACTATAAGGAAGTTCATCTCATACAATCTGTTCTGTGTGATTTCATCCGTCTTGTGTTACTCAGACACATAATGGAGGAGGAGATTTGATCATGATGCCCCTGCAGGCATAGGGAGAGGATAATACGCACGATCATGTTTTGACATTTGGCTTTGAAAAAGAGAGCAGAAATGCGTATAGTGCGCATCAAGTATCCAAATATGCGCAATGAATAAAGTACTTGAAGAAAATTAATACCTTAGTGTTTGGTATTAGTTTGCAAATAATTCAGTAGATGTGAATCATGATACTATATAAATATATAAGTAAATGTCCTTTTTTCTACAACCTTCGATTTAAAATGTCATACAAATATTTAAGTAAATATAAAACAAGGTGATTTGAATTCCCAACCTTAATGATTATTAAATGATGATTTATTTATTTATTTTTGGTCCTGTTCACAACTTTCCGTGTTCTGTTTGTTTACTGCTAATGCCGTTACAAATTGTGAAAATAACTGTTTGATTAAATGAAGACCAAACAGATTCCTCTGATTACATCCGTGTTTTTGATTTCAGCAAATCAGCATTTTTGAATGGAAACCATTATCTTTGTGTGAGTCCAACATTGCACAAGAAAACATGCAGTAAAAAACTGAGACGTGATCCGAAAAGGCAAGGTGTCAAGGAGTGGTTTTTGAGTAACCTGCTGAGTAATTTCTGTTCATGCTTTGGCCTCTGAATTTACCTGATATAAACCCAATTGAAATTTACTTTTAAAATATGCTGCATGCATATCATTAAGATAACCAAATTAAACAGACAATAAGTAAAAATAAAAAACGACAATATGGTGATTATAAATACACTCACCGGCCACTTTATTAGGTACTTCTTACTAGTATCGTGTTGGACCCCCTTTTGACTTCAGAGCCTTAATCCTTCATGGCAAGGATTCAACAAGGTACTGGAAATATTCATCAGAGATTTTGGTCCATATTGACATGACAACATCATGCAGATGCTGCACATCCATGATGTGAATATCCTGTTCCACCACATGCCAAGGGTACTTTATTGGAATAAGATCTGGTGACTGTGGAGGCCATTTAAGTACAGTGAACTCATTGTCATGTTCAAGAAAACAGTCTGAGATGATTCGCACTTTATGGCATTGTGTGTCCTCCTGGAAGTAACCATCAGAAGATGGGTACACTGTGTTCAAAAAGTAATGGACATGGTCAGCAATGCAATGAAGGCTGTGGCGTTGACAGAATGCCCAATCGGTACTAATGGGCCCAAAATTGTGTCAAGAAAATATCCCCCACACCATTACACCATCACCACCAGCCTGAACCGTTGGAACTGGCAGGATGGATCCATGCTTTAATGTTGTTGATGCCAAGTTTTGACCCCACCATCCGAATGTCGCAGCAGAAATCGAGACTCATCAGACCAGGCTACATTTTTCCAATCTTCTATTGTCCAATTTTGGCCTCAGTTTCCTGTTCTTAGCTGACAGGAGTGGCACCCTGGTCTTCTGCTGCCATCCACCTCGAGGTTCGTCATCTTGTGCGTTCAGATATGGCCTCTTTTGAGATGCCATTCTGATGCTTGGTTTGAACTGCAGCAGATCATCTTGACCATGTCTACATGCCAAAATGCATTGGGTTGCTGTCATGTGATTGGCTGACGAGAAACTTGCGTTTACAAGCAGTTGGTCCTGGTGAGTGCATATTGAGAAATCTATCAATGAAATCAATATACAAAACTGGAATGTTAATACAGATGAAAAGAGAAGGTTAGATTCTTGCAGATGTTTGTTTAGATGGAATATGGCTTGGAGGAGAAAGAAGGTTATTGTTATTTCTGGCTGTTGTGGTGCTCCAGTGCTCTGTAGAGCTAGTCAGATGGCAACAGTTGGACAAGTGGAGAGTAGGCTGGATGTGAGGGGTCCAGAATTATTTTTCAATCCCTTTTCCTCACTGAATCTGTAAAGCTTTCGGATGTTAGGCAGAAGGAAATGGGTCTGATCTGGTAGCTGAACCAAACCAGAAGCTAGATAGACTCAGTAGCTATGTTTTCATCCAAAATGTGAATTAGAGTTAGGTGCAGAAGTAGAATATCACATAAAACAGTTGCAAATAAAGCGCCGTTTCTATACAATCAGTCAAAAAGAACAAAATTGTCACTTCCTGATAAATTGGAGCCAAATATCAAAGAAAAATGTAATTAGCTGAGGTATAAGAGAAACCACTGTAGGCCTTTTTTATTATATAACAAATTACCTGCATCTCAGAAGACAAAGACGAAATGCAAAGAACGCGCTGTGACTTTTGGAGGAGCTAGAGCACTCTTTAGGAGCACTGACACTCAACATAGTTCTGGCAGGTAAGAATGCTGAACCACTTTGATGGACCAAAACAAAATTTCAGATGTTGAAAGGCAGGCTAGTCCAAAAAAAGATAAATGAAACAATGTAAAAGGAATCAGATAGCCAGACAAACGGCACCTTAGAAGGTCATGTACTACATTGTTCCTTCCTCGTGTACTTTTAAGAGGATCTGCCTTTGTTAAATCGATGCTCTGAAGACTGCAGGCTTTGTCTGAAAAGGTGTGATACCAGTTTTTTTTAAAAACAGAGCTTTCTCACGAAGACGGCATGTCTGAAATCACCTATGCTAAAAAAGGCTTTGAGAGTATGTGCGTGTTTTATGAAAAATAATATGAATGGATTAGACAACTAATACCAGTTATTGTTGGGTTAAGGCTTCATGATGATCTTCCTTTTGTTCATTTAAAATCTATAAAATAGTTCAGGTTGATGAAATTGCTGTTTGTTTAAATCGTATTGTTGTTTTGTGAAGTAAACTGCACTCCCTCTTGTTCTATCCCATTTGACTTTTAACACAGAAGATAATTTGAAGAAAGTTGGAAATCTGCTAATTGACTTCCATAGTAGGAAAACCAATTACTGTTTAAATCAATGGTTACAGTCTTCCAACATTCTTCAAAATATCTTCCTTTGTGTTCAATAGAACAAACAATGTAAATTGGATTGAAACAATTCACTTTCATCTACTACTGTACATATAAAGATTTTGATTAATGTTCAGTTGGTTTAATGTATTTATAAACATGAACTAAACATTCAGATGATCTGAATAATCAACCCCCCGTTATCAAAGGGTTTGTCTTATTTATTTGTCCTGTACACAACTTTGGTAAACAAAAACAAAGTTGTTCATTGTTAGTTTTTTTTAACAAGCACATCTTTGGATTTCATTAACGCTTAGTAAATGCTGAACTATGATTAATGCAGTTGATCAAGTATTGTTCATACCTAGCTTATAGTAAATAGATTAACTAAAGGAACCTTATTGTAAAGTGCATGACCATATTTTTTTAATGAATTTAAATCAAGAAAACACTTTTTTTTTCAACAAATAAATATTTGTAATCCTTTAAAAATAGTCTGACTAAACTAACAATTTTGGACCCTAACTCCAATAAAACAGTAAAATCTGTTAATTTTTAATTTTATTTTTTTTGCTTTCAAGGCATGTCATCTAATGTGAGGCATACAATCCATGTCATTGGACATTATTTGTCCATTCAATTGGCAGTATGGCTCTGTCTGCTGTAATTTGAAAAATATTGTCTACGCTGACGAAAAGTATGGCTGTTCTTTGTGTCGGACACAGAAGTAAGTTACATTTTTAATGTTTTTTTTTTCACATTATTGACAATATTGCACAGATTGAAGAACAATATAGCACAGAAGTTACATATTAATTGTACGTCACTTTGGACAAATGCATCTGCTAAATGCCTAAATGTGTATGGTAGAATTGCAAGCTTTAAATGAAGATTTTTTATATGTTCAATATAATAGAAGGTAGTTTTGGTTTTATTATAATGGCCTATGGGTTGTAATAAAGTGCTGTCTATAAAACTAAAACCATCATTATCATTTTAAACTTTGTAACATTCAGAAGTAGCCATTTGTATTATTTTTAAATTTCATATTGGTATATTTTTTTTAATTGCTTTAACCTATGTCCATTCTGAAAGCGTTCCCCTATATACATTTCTGGAGATTGCGAAATATGTCCCAGGAGATGTTGACCTGCTCAATGAAAATCAGATGATTAAGTACATTTATAAATCTGACATAACTTGATCAGAAATTTAAAAAGGGGAGAAAAAGATTAAGCCATTAATAGAAAGTAATACTTTGGTTAAAAGAGTCTTGCAGGTTACAGTGCAATATTTATTTTTTATTTCAGCCATACTAACATAACAGCACCATTGTGGTCCAGTGGTATGCACGTTGCATTTATGACACTAATGACCTGTGTTCTAATCTTACTGGAGTAATTATTTATTTATTTACTTCATTTTCATTGTTAAGGCATATAATACTGTTAGGGTTGTTGAACATCTGAAGTTCTAAAGCAGCTGTTTTCTTGAAAAGACATGATAGTGTCATTAGAAACTGAATTGGAAATGACCTTATTTTAATATAGTCAGTCGTGAACTGAGGAGGGCCGGTCTAAGGCTTGAAACTCCAGGGCTGAAAAAGAGTCCCACTCCGACCCTGCACCCACCCCCTTTCCTAAAGCCAACCAAAAGTGTTTTTAAAAGCAATCCAAAAAAAGAAAAGCCCCCCTGATTTTTCCTACATTTTCAGACCTTACCACGTTTTTACCCTGTTATTTACTTATTTAATTTAGTTTTTTGTTTTAACTGCTTTCTGGAACTGTTCTTAAACCTCGTCTTAGTGATCAACTACTCTCTGCGTCTCAAGTCTGCCTATGTACGTGGCGAGCCACTGGACAAACTGGCAACATGCAGCAGAAAAGCCGTTCATATAGAGGTAAGCGGTCAGCTGGTAAGCGAGAAAAGAAACGGCAACATATATGTACCACCCCGCAGCGTTTGCTGTAAAGATGAAATGCAGCCATTTGCGCTTCTGGCTATATAATTTGTGATCTCCAGAAATGTATACGGGGACATTTTCAGAACAAGTCTATGTTGATTAACTTGTACACAAAATGAATACTGTTGATATATATACTATATTTAAGTCTCAGTTATGGAAGCCTTAAGATCAGAGGAAATGCACTTTCACATTTTCATATCCTGGTCAGAAGGGCTTCATTTTATTATTTAATGAAATGAACATGAATGTCCTGTTGTAAACCACTTTTGTCTCCAACAGGACACATTTGCTGCATAATGTGCTTTTATAATGGCACAGTAAAGTGAAGCGTGTTACACAGTGATATAATGCATTAGTGGAATATGACTCTATGCTGAAGACAGGTACCTGATTAACGTGAGCTGTACACCTGATGCTGAGCTTGTGCTGATGATGTTCCTCCTGACTGCCGTGTTTCTGGTGCCTCCCTCACACACATACAGACAGGAGGAGACCAGTATAAATAGCACATCATCACAAACACTGACAAAAGACACTCGAGAAGAAACCAGGACAACAAGGTACTGTGTGTTCATCATCATATAGTATTATTAGGATGAATATGTTATAACTTTTTAAATCAAATATATTGACAATTTATTGTTAGAATCATCTGTCTGTCTGTCTCTATCATTGTATCATTCTATCCATCTTTCTATCTGTCTCTCTGTCCGTCCGTTCATCTATCACGTTCTATCTATCGTTCTGTCTCTATTATATCGTTCTATCCATCCGTCTGTCTGTCTGTCCATCCATCTATCGTTCTGTCTCTAGCATTATATCATTCTATCCATCCGTCTGTCTGTCCATCCATCTATCGTTCTGTCTCTAGCATTATATCATTCTATCCATCCGTCTGTCTGTCCATCCATCTACCGTTCTGTCTCTAGCATTATATCGTTCTATCCATCTCGTCATTTCATTTGTCATTCTCTATATTTCCCTCCAAATTTCCTTGTGTTTATCTTAGGACAATTTAATGATAACTTTAATAAATTGTATCATTTTTATGAGCCTGTAAAGTGAACTTTTTTTTCTTAAATTCTTTTTTTGTTTGTTTCTTTCTTTTTTTAATTCATTTTTTCATATTAATTTTGTTTATTTCTTTAGTTTTTCAATTCTTTAGTTTTTATTTTTAGTTATTTTCTTTCCTTTTTCTCTATTATTACTTTATTTTTTATTCATTTATGCAAATTCATTTAATTAGTTTGTGTCTGTCTTTGATATTTTTCTTTTTCTTTTTTCTTTTTTTTGTTTATTTAATTATTCGTTTATTGATATTCATTTTGTTTGTCAATTTCTTTAGTTAATTTTTCTTTGATTGTTTCTTTCTTTTTTCTTTCTTTATTTTTGTTTCTTTAATATTTAATCATTTATTAATATTCATTTCATTTATTTCTTGTTTTTTCATTGCTTTGTTTTTTCTTTTTGTTTTTTTCTTCATTTTAGTTTCTTAATTTTTTTATTTTTCTTTGTTTGTTTATTTCTTTAGATTGTTTCATCTTTGTTTGACTGTTTCGTTTTTCTTTTCCTTTTTTTATTTTTTATTCTTTTATTCATACTCATTTCGTTTGTTCATTTCTTTAGTTTGTTTCTTTTTTTGTTTCTTTTTTCTTTTCCTTTTTTTTCTATCTTCATTTTTTATTTTATACATTTAGTAATATTCATTTAGTTTATTTCCTTTTTTAATTTCTTTAGTTTTTTTCTTTCCTTTCATTTTATTCTTTTCTTTTTCCTTAATTTTTGTTTCTTAATTTTTTTCTTTATTTGTTTATATTCATTTCGTTTGTTCATTTCATTGATTTGTTTCTTTCTTTGATTGTTTTTTATTTTCTTTCTTAATTTTTCTTGTTTTAATTTTAATTTATTTATTAATTTTCAATTTTTCTTTCTTCATTTTTGTTTCTTTACTCATATGTCCTATTCATTTATTCTTTTATTTCCTGTTCACTTAGTTTATTTCATTTTTTCCATTTCTTTCTTTTTTTGTTTGTTTGTTTTTGTCTGTCTGTCTGTTTGTTTGTTTTTTTAATCTATCCAACCATCTGTCTCACCAATCATCTTTCATTCTATCCCACTTTCCATTTGGTTTCATCTATTTTTCTACATCATGTCTATCTGTCTAATTTTATCATTATTAGTAGTATTAACATTGAAGTAATGTGATGCTTGAAATAATCTGTTTCTCTGTCCCCAGAATCCTCATTTATTTTCCCACTCGAGCAGAACAACTGCATGTGGAACTGAACACCTGTAGCGTGAGTGATCCACCCGTAAGTGTTTGTCTTTTTCCCCCCTTTAATGTCTGCTTTGGAGTAAATCAAGGTCAGCCTGTTCTTGTGCTGTGTGGGATTTTCCCCTGCAGCCACACAGCATCATGTGGCCTGTCCTCCTCGTGTATCATCTTGTCCTGATTCTGCAGTTGGAGGCTCAGAGTCCCTGCCTCACCCATCCTACATTCAGAGAGCCAGGTGAGTCAGAAAGATCCAGACGCATCCTTATAATTCTCTCCTTGCTCTCAGCTTTCAGCATCTTTAGAAGCACAGAGGAACCTGAGACCACCTGGCAATACTGGACCTGTATTTAGTTTAATATATGCAGTATTGTTTTAATGACGTGTCCTTCTTTAGTTGTGGTTTTAAATGTCGCAGTAGTGTGTCAGAATGAACAACAAACATTTTCTGAATAATATTATGAAAGGATTAGACAACTATAGGAAGGTGTTGATTTATGGAAGGTGTCACGGTGCTTTAAAAAACACAATACTTTAGAGCAGGGGTTCTCAACCTGTTTCACTTCGGGCCCGCTTCTTTCTTTGATCAATTTTTGAAGTCCCACCTGTCTGACATGTTCTCTAATTTTTTTTGTATGAAATTCTCATTTAAAGCTTTATTTATTAACAAATAATGTATTAAATTATATTATTTTTTTTACAAATATATATTATACATTTGTTGTGCCCTCCATTATTTTCTATTATCAGCATTTTATATATATAAAAATTATATATATATATATATATATATATATATATATATATATATATATATATATATATATATATATATTTTTTTTTTTTTTTTTTTTTTTTTTTTTTATGCAATTTTATATAAAACTAAAACTATATTATATATAATTGTATTTATTTTTTTATTTTATATACATTTAAATATATCAAAACTAAACAGACAAATGTAAAATAAAGTTAAACACCCTAAATCTGTTGAAACGAGTCGATCTGATTGCAGTTGAGATTCAAGCTGGATATTATTGGTCTGAAGCTCATGAGTTTATTTTACATTCTATGGCAGAAACACCATTCGGTGAGCCTTGCTAGATCCTCATGTGGTGCGCGTCTTTTATAAAACACTCACAGGACATTAATTTAGACAACTATGCAGATGTATTAAATAGTTCACACAAAATTACACAAAGATAGACTTTCACTTTCACTTCATGCATAGTTTGAACAGACATGCATGAACTCAATCGAGCTGTTTTTGTGCTTGTTTTGAGTTTGAAGTGATCAATCAGAGAACAAATAAATAATATAAAAATATAAATTAAGGTTCAGTATTTTGTGGTTTACATGGTGTTTTTTGTTTATTTAGGCTACTGCAGTGAATTGCATTATGGGATCTTGATCTCTGCTTTGTCAACTTTGTCAACACTGTAGATTGACAGTGACTTTTATTGGCATTTTAGTAGTTTGAGATATAATATTGTTAAAGAAAATAATATAGAGAGAAGTGAGTCAAATAAAATAACAGAAAAAAATGCAGTTTGTAACCAGGTTTTTGTACTCTATTTACAACACAAACACAGACAATATATAATTTCAAAGTAGTAAATTTGTCACTTTTAAACTTTGGAGGAAAGACTAAAAAACCCATTAAGCAAATCAAGAGCATAAATAAGTGGAAAAAAATCAATCACCAAATATAAAAAACTGTTAATTTACAAATATTTTACTGTGAATTTCAGTTTAAACTACAAACAGCACTGCTTTTATGAATTTTATTAAATAACTTTAATTTTGTTGAAATTTTTAAACAATTTTTATTTATTGTTGATTTAAGGAATGTGTCACGATGGTCTTATTTTCTTTCACAAAAAAAATAGTTTAGAGTAATTAAAATACTTGATTTATTCTTTTTTTGACTGATTTTTTTTTATTTTATAAATAGTTTTTATATCCTTATTAATCCATAATGGCACAACTATTTACTATATTAAGTGTTTCTATGAACAGCTGATCTATTTATATATACATTTTTATATAAATTGATATATATTTATTCATATATATATATATATATATATATATATATATATATATATATATATATATATATATATATATATATATATATATATATATATATATATATAGGAGGGGGGATGTCCACCTTGTGCAGTTTCCATTTGGATGATGCAACAGCAGCCACAAAATAACGGCGCCAGTGCGCTCACACACCAGCTATAGTTTGAGACAGTGATAGAGCCAATTTAGTTAATGGGGATGATTGGGTGTAAGGGCTGATGGAAGGAATTTGGCCAGGACACCGGGGTTGCTACTTTTTACGAGAAGTGCCATGGCATTTTAATGACCACAGAAAGTCATGATTGCAGTTTAACGGCTCATCTGAAAGATGGTGCTCACTGACAGTATAGTGTCCACGTCACTATACTAGGGCATTAGGACTCACACAGACAGCAGGTTGAGCACACCCTGCTGACCTCACCAACACCACTTCCAACAGCAACCTAGCTTTCCTGTGTGGTCTCCCACCCAGGTACTGACCAGGCTCAGCCCTGCTTAGCTTCAGTGAGAGACCGCTATTGGGCTGCAGGGTGATATGGTGAATAAGATAGATTAAATTACTAGAAGTGTTATTTAATTTTAAGGTCGAATTAGATTTTTAAAAATCACATTTGTATTCTCATTTACAAGCAGCTATAGATTAAACTTGTTTTAAAACAACTTAATTTTTTCGTTATACAGCATATTACGAAAACGTAATAAATATTGTATCTATTTCTTAACACATGAAAAAGTTCAATCAAAAATACTTAAAATTTTATTTGGAACCATAAAGAAACCCAATATTTTATTTTCCTTGCAGGAAAATAGGTTAATGAATGTTAATTTTTGGCTGAACTATCCTTTTAAATGTCCTGGTAGCCCTATGGATTTCAGTTTAAACAAAAAACGTCATTGTTTCATTATACAGACAACTCGGACATCACGGTGATGTGTGGCACGAACAGGATAGATCTGCAGATTTTGTTGTGTCCCATGTATTTCAATGGATACAGTGAATCGATGGTGGCTCTGAATAGTCAGTTCTCCACACCTGAATGCAGAGGAATTGCAGACTGGTTCGTCGACCCTCCTGTTGTCAGATTCCAGTTCTACATCACTGAGCCATACTTGTCTATTTGCTCCAATAAACTCACGGTAGTAGAATTTTTTTTATGGACATTATGAAAACAATAAGTATCATATTGAGTAATTATACATTTATACATATCATGCAACTCAATGTTTTGATGGGTTAGTTAGAGCACTGGTTCCTAAGTTTACAAAGTGGGGAACATAGCAATAAAGTAAGATGCAGCAGATTGATTTTACAGTACAAGGTTCAACTTTAACACTTATACGCACTCGTGTACTATAAAAAAAGGCCACAACTAAACATGGAGGATGATTTCCAAATCAAAATCTCCTAAACAACCTAATGATGACTAATAAAAATAATATGGTTGTTAGACTGCTGCACTAATTTTGTGTTGTCAAAATGCTCATGTTCATATAGTTCTCTAATGTTTGTATGTTTATAACCACCTTGTGTCTAGGGGGGTCACGACTCAACTGGAATTGTTATTTTGGGCATCGCAGTCTAAAATGTTTGGGAACCCCTGGGTTAAAAATGTTTAAACATTTTTAGAAGTGAGACAACAACAACGAAAAAGAGCTATATTGTTATGTTTAATTTATATTATTTATTCAAATAATTTTCTTCCCTTTTAAATTGTTTATAATAATAGTACTAAAAAGTGTAAATATATTATTTGAATAATAATAATAAAAAAAATTATAGTAATTCATCAGGTACAAAAAAAGCAATAAAAAAAACAAAAACAAATATGTGTCCAAACTGCTTAATTGTTATTTTAAATATAATGTTTGTTTTTTTTTTACTGTTAGGTTATTCTTGTAATTATATTATTATTATTATTATTATTATTATTACTATATTTTGTATTATTATTTTGCTATTATATTATTATTATTCATTCATTTATTTTATTTTCGGCTAAGTTCTTTGATTATTCTGGGGTCGCCACAGTGGAATGAACCACCAACTTATCCAGCATATGTTTTACGCAGCAGATGCCCTTCCAGCTGCAACCCATTATTGGGAAACATCTATACACACTCATTCACACACATACACTACAGACAATTAAGCTTACCCAATTCATATACCACACGTTTTGAACTGTGGGGGAAACCGGAGCACCCGGAGAAAACCCACGAAAACACGAGAAGAACATGCAAACTTCAAACAGAAACACCAACTGACCCAACCAAAGCTCGAACCAGCGCCCTTCTTGTTGTGAGGCGATCGAGCTACCCACTGCGCCACCATGCATCCCAATATTATTATTATTATTATTGTTATTATTATTATTAATAATGATGATGATAATAATAATAATAATAATAATAATAATAATAATAATAATAATAATTTTGGTTATAATAGATTTTACTAAAATACTAGAATTTATAGACAAACTTATTTTAAAAAATTAATATTTTATAATTATTATTATATATAGTTTGCCTAGTTTGTAATTAATTAAATAATTTAAAATATATCCTTTATTATGTGGCCTAATAATAGACTTTATATACACTGTAATTATGGTGCAAATTACAGTGGGGTTTGAACCCCTAATTAATTCTTGATCGCCCCTAAAGAACATCAAAACATGTATGGGGGATCAGTCCTGGAGAGTGGAAGTTTGCTCTGATTTGTATCCTAAACAATATCATTAATAATTAAAATGATAGTTGATATAAATATGCATTTGTGCATACCAATGTGAATGCATAATTATGTCAATATGCCTTTGCAAGAAAAATGTCATTCATCAGTCTGAAACTGGCAGATCTAAAGCACCGATCTTTTAAGTCAAATTAGATGTAAAGTTTGTATAGTTTGATCTACACTAGCCTCTGAAACAGCTAGACAGAGAATACCTTAGGTCAGAATAGATTAAACATCCCACAAAACACTGAAAACGTAAATGTTTTATTCATAAATTAGATTTAATTTATATATATATATATATATATATATATATATATATATATATATATATATATATATATATATATAGATAGATAGATAGATAGATAGATAGATAGATAGATAGATAGATAGATAGATAGATAGATAGATAGATAGATAGATAGATAGATAGATAGATAGACAGACAGACAGACAGACATTTAATTTGCTGAAGCATGTTATACAAACTAACATTGTAGAAAAAGTTGACCCTGTGATTGAATGTATAATCCGCACCCTGACTGTAATATATAATATAATATATAGCCATTTTGCATTGTTGATCTTAAGGTATCTCTAATTAGTTGTATTGATACACCGAAGCTGTTTCTAATCTTCAGGTTAGGCTTCTGTCTTTGCATGTTCCACCGTCCTCCACAGATCAGTCAGGAGATTGGATCTGGGCTTTTCTCGGACTTCTCCAGTGTGCAGTCGGTGAACATCTCTGGAGTGGTGAACACTCAGGACCCCAACGCTGGGACCATCACTTACAAGCAGGAGATAAAGTACATGTTCTCCTGCCGATACCCACTGCAGTACCTGCTCAACAACACCGAGATCAGCGTGTGAGTGAACCAGCGCTCAAACACTATTAGTCACCAAATAAACCAGCAGATGATGTGAAGATCAGATTTCATGGAGAAATAGATTTTAGAGTTTATAATGTAATGACAATGTATTAGATAAATGATGAATTAAAGTGATTTCAATGGCTTCAGAATTTTTTGTTTTGGCTCCGTGTGTAATAAACTCAAAATAGTAGTACACAGAAGAAAATAAAAATGATTCATTGGATTTTCAATTATTTGATAATTGGTTACAAACAACAACAAACAAACAAATTAAATTTTGTAATGTTCAACTTAATTGTTTAAATTTAGACCATATTAAATTTTGCAACCACTTACCCTAAAAAAAATTGTAAATCCAATGAATATTTTTTTTCAGTGTAGTGAATAAAACAAAAAAATGAAGGAATGATTACATTACGTAACTGATCTTCTGAACTGGGTACAAAATAGGGGGCTAATAACTCTGACTTCTACTGTATATATATATAGTCAGAATTATTAGCCCCCGTTTCCTCAATTTCTGTTTAACAGAGAAGATTTTTCAACAATTTCTGAACATAATAGTTTTAATAACTCATTTCTAATAACTGATTTATTTTATCTTTGTCATGATGACAGTAAATCATATTTGACGATATCTTTCAAGAAATTTCTACACAGCTTAAAGTGACATTTAAAGGCTTAACTAGGGTAATTAGGCAGGTTAGTGTAATTAGGCAAGTTAATTTATAACGATGATTTGTTCTGTAGACTATTGACAAAATATAGCTTAAAGGAGCTAATAATTTTGACCTTAAAATAATGTTTAAAAAAATTCAAACTGCTTTTACTCTAGCCAAAGTAAAACAAATAAGACTTTCTCCAGAAGAAAAAATATTATCAGACATACTGTGAAAATTTCCTTGTTCTGTTAAACATCATTAAACACACACACACACACACACACACACACACACACACACACACACACACACACACACACACACACACACACACACACACACACACACACACACACACACACACACACACACACACGGATTAATAAAGGGACTAAGCCGACAAGAAAATGAACATATACATAGAGAGAGAGAGAGATCATTTCCCAAATGATGTTTAAGAGCAAGGACATTTTCACAGTATGTCTGATAATATTTTTTCTTCTGGAAAAAGTCTTATTTGTTTTATTTCGGCTAGAATAAAAGCAGTTTTTAATTAAAAAAAAAACATTTTTGGGACAAAATTATTAGCCCCTTTAAGCTAATTTTTTTTTCGATAGTCTACAGAACAAACCATCGTTATAGAATAACTTGCCCAATTACCCTATCCTGCCAAGTTCACCTTATTAACCTAGTTAAGCCTTTAAATGTCACTTTAAGCTGTATAGAAGTGTCTTGAAAAATATCAAGTAAAATATTATTTACTGTCATCATGGCAAAGATAAAATAAATCAGTTGTTAGGTTTTAAAAATTATTATGCTTAGAAATGTGCTGAAAAAAATCTTCCCTCCATTAAACAGAAATTGGGCAAAAAATAAACAGGGGCGCTAATAATTCAGGGGGGCTAATAATTCTGACTTCAACTGTATGTATATATATATATATATATATATATATATATATATATATATATATATACACACACACATACATACATACATACACAGACACATACATACACACACACACACACACACACACATTTCAGTCTTTGCTGATCTCCGTTAAAAATTACATAATGCCAATGCCAGGTTATGTATATTCTTGAGTCGCTTATTCTAATCTAAAATAGGTTTAATTAAATTAGTCCTGTTCACATCAAAGACAATAACGACAATTACTGTATTTGTTTTAAATGCTGTATAAAGGAATAGCTGATAAGAACGCAGAGGAATGAAATTACTTAAAGCACGATTCTTTTAGTTGCTGAGGGATAAAAAACATTGACAGCCAATTAAATTCTAACTGCTTTAGCACAACTTAAAAAAGCAAATGGAAGAAAACAAAAAATAAACGGCAAACAGAACGTTACTGTGCTTTGTTTTATGCTACTTCAGTTTTCGTTTTGTGTCTGAAAGTTGCTTTTCTGCTGTGTTTTGGAGCAGATCTGGAGTTAGTCTGGCCATTAAAGACAACAATGGCAGTTTTATCAGCACTCTCAGCATGCATCTTTTTGAGGTATTTTAATGCTTCTTTTGCATATCATGTGCTTTCATGACCCTGGACCACAAGATTAGTCTCATAGGACACAGGTATATTTGTGAGAAAAGCTAAATACGATGAAAGTCAAAATTATTGATTTTTATTTCATGGCAGAAACCGTTAGAATATTAAGTAATTTGTAAGAAACCGTAATATTAATATCGTATCCATTTTTTGATCAGCATCATCCATTGATAATAACTTAATTTGGACAACTTTAGAGGCGATTTTCTCATTATTTAGATTTATGAACGCTCAGATTCCAGACTTTCAAACAGTTCTAATATTGTTCAACCATACATTAACGGAAAACTTATTTATTTATTTTTCAGATTCTGTATAAATCTCAATTTTTCAAAAACTTACTCTTGTTGCTGTTTTTGTGGTCCAGGGCAACATGCTGTATGTGAAATTCATTCAGAAACACTTGTCATTAGCGACACCACTGGCCGCTAAGTGAACTGCAGAAAGCAATTTAAAGGGATAGTACACCCGCAAAAAAGCTCGTTTTCTCACGCTTGTGAACACATTAAAATTCATTTGCATGTGTTCATCTCGATCTGTCTGTCTGTGTGTGTCTGACTGAAAGGATTTGGCATATACAACTCGTCTCTCCATTCCTCCAGTGGGTCTTAATCTGAAGACCAGGGTTTTTGTGGAAGTTCGAGCTACTAATCTCACCCAAAGGTAACTGATCGATTTTAGCTGAGCTGTATTATTCATTGTACGATATTCTGTGATATAAGATGCAAAATGAGCTCTGGGGAGCAATCTGACTCCTTTAAAAAAAATTAAACATTTTCTAAAAGCCTAAAGACAAATAAAGCACATAATTAATAAATATGTATATTTATATGTATGTTTTTTTTTTTAAGGTTTAATGTTTTGTTGGATCGATGTTATGCAACCACTAGTCCTTATCCAGAAAACAGCACATCATTTGACCTGTTCATTGGGTAAGTGAAGACTTACATCTTTCTCATTTACTCATTTTTACACAATTAATTTCTAATACGCAATTTTTTACTCTAAACAAAAATGTCTGCTAAGTTCCAATGCAGATTTTGTAAAAAAAAAAAAAAAGTGATTCTTAGTTATATTCAATAGTCCCTTTCACACCTACAGAACTTTCCTGGAAAATTGCCACCAATCTTTCATAAAGAGATCATGTTTGAACAGGCCCTTTTTGAAATTACCAGTAAATTTGTTCTGGCAATTTTCCAGAAAGAGAAGTAGTAACATTAAAAGTTGTAGCTTTTATTTTTACTTAATGCATTTTATCCAGCCAACTTATACAGCATATGTTTTTACACAGAGGATGCCCTTCCAGCTGCAACCCATCACTGGGAAACATCCATACACACTCATTCAAACTCATACACTATGGCCAATTTAGCCTACTCAATTCACATAGCGCATGCCTTTGGACTTCGGGGGGAAACCTACACGAACATGAGCAGAACTATCAAACTCCACACAGAAATGCCAACTGACCCACAGGCTCGAACCAGCTCCCTTCTTGCTGTGAAGTGAATGTGCTACCCGCTGCGCCAATGTGCAGCCAACACATCCCATAATTTCTAAAAAATATTAGCTTCAACCATATAGTTGATATGTCAGTTTATGGTAAACGTACTGGAATTAATACATATACTATGAAAAATCTGAAAATATGAAGTGTAAGAAAAAATATACAAAATAAACAATTTTAAATACTAAATTTTCCTCTTTTTTTAAAGTATGCCATAAAATATTTTTAGATTCTCATTTAACATGTTTCTTGTGTGTTTCTTTTAACAATAACTACAAAATCACGTGTAGTAGTGCAACAGGAGTATGTCTGTTTGATTTCTTTGTAAGTCAACAATGCTGTGTGTGTGTGTGTGTGTGTGTGAGTGTGTGTGTGTGTGTGTGTGTGTGTGTGAACAGTTATTTAAAACAGTCATTATTTATAACAGTCAAAACATGGTCAACCGTTTGGTAGAGCGAGCAGTTAAAGCGACCCTCCACATTATTCTCTGTCATTCTCAGATGTTACAAAGAGCCACAGACCGTGATGTTTGTGAACGGAGAGCTTCAGACTGCACGTTTCTCCTTCGAGACGTTTCGCTTCACCGAGCACAGAAACAGGACAGTGTCCACCTCTTACATCCACTGCGCCACCAGACTCTGTGAGAAGACTTTCTGCAGATCCTTACGGCAGGTATGAGCACTGTGTAGTGTGAGTGACTGAGAGAAACATATGGCTTCAGCTAATAAAGCGAGTTTACGTGTATGTGTGTCAGAACTGCACAGTGTTAGGAAGAAAGAGAAGAGAAGTGCAGTCGGCTCAGGGAACTTCAGTCAGTGATGTCGCCACCATCACTTCTGGACCAATTGTTACCAAAGTGGACGGTAAGAACAATCAGAGGTTTATATAAGAGAAGAGAAAAGATAAATATATACAGTTGAAGTCAGGATTATTAGCCACACTGGTTTTTTTTTGTTTTTTTTAAATATTTCCCAAATTATGTTTAACAGAGGAAGGAAATTTTCACAGTAAGTCTGATAATATTTTTTCTTCAGTAGAAAGTCTTATTTGTTTTATTTTGGCAAGAATTTTTTTTCTGAACCATTTTAAGTTCAAAATTATTAATTATTATTACTAATATGTTTAGAAATGTGTTGAAAAAAAATCTTCTATTCGTTAAACTGAAATTGGGGGAAAAAATAAACAGGGAGGCTAATAATTCTGACTTCAACTGTACACATATTTTCACAGTGACATTGTGTATGCAGATTATAGTAGAATATATAATTGTTTTGGGAATTTAAAAGACTCTAAGACAATTCTAACTAAGATTTGATAACTTCAAATCAGATTTACATTTTCCCTCAGAATTCTGTCTTGTTTTTTGCAGTTGTGAGACGTTCTAAGTTTATATTTTACAATTCTGTAAAAAAAACAAAAAAAAAAAAAAACTAAAGAGATCTTGCAATTTTCTTTCTTTTTAAATTTTCAATTTAAATGCAATTCAACAGTTGTGTATATCTTACCATTGCAAGATTTTAAAAAAAAATTCTTGGAGTTTGATTCTTTCCTACGGTGGCCGAGAGAGTTAAACTTGCTGAAATTTGAGAAAACACTTGCAATTACAAAAAAAGCCAGCAAATTAAGAAAAGATCTTTACAAAAATAATGCAAGCAAATTAATAAAACGTGCTGCATTTTCTCACAACACAAATTATTTAGGAAAACGCGCTGCGTTTTCTCACAACACTTGGAAAAAGAACTGAATACAATGGAAATGTTTCAAGAGGACTTGATGGAAGCTGCTGCAAAATGTTTATTGTGCCATGACTATTGCTTAGTGAAGTTGTAGGTGATTTTTGAAAGGTGAGTATTTTGTTGCATCCTCATTCCATTGCCTTTTGTATTAGCCTCAATAACTATAACCTAAATAGCAATGTCTGTCATGTTTTAGGATCCCCTTGAAACTTTTCTATAATGTTCTGTGTTATCTGAAAGTGTTGTGAGAGAATGCAGCACATTTTTGTAAATTGTTTTCTAGGTGTGAAAATGCAGCAATTTTAAAAAATTTTAAATGTGTTGTGTTTTTCTATATTTGCTGGTGTTTCTTGTAAATGTAAAATGGGCCAGAGGTTTCAATTTTCCTGAGTTTGCAGGCGCAACAATTGGGCAGGGCTTAAGTTTTCGTATCGACATCACGCCGAAACGGCTAAAGACTATTCATTTATAGCACTAGGAGTTGTCTCTTTTATAAATGAATCAGTAAATTTAAACGCTGTGCATTGTTACACACTACATGGAATTTCATTATTAGGGTCTATAACCCATATTAGGGGCTCTTTAAAACATGCAAATTATAGTCGAAAATAGTTTTGCTTCTATTTATTTTCCCTCACAAATTTATGTTTACATCTTGCAATTGTAACTTTTTAATATGAACTCAGAGTTGCAAGATGTGCACTTAAAATCTGACCTTTTAAGCCATTTGATTTTTTTCTTCAGAATTGTGACTTCATTTCTTGCGATTGTGGGATCTTAGGCTTGTAATTACAAATTAAATTTTTTTAACTTGTGTAAAAACTATTTTTGCAATTCAAAGCTTACATCTGTTAATTCAATGTATTTTTTCACAGTTAATATCTTTCACTTGCAAAACTGTAAGTTGTAACATTACATTTGTTGAAAAATCTAAAATTAATAAAAATCTAAATTAATTTAATTGCGAAAGAATTACCAGAATTCGCAAGTTACATCTCACAAATTTAAAGCTGTATTGGAAAACTCTGACTTTTTTTCCACAATTGTGAGAATATATTATGCAATTCAACAAAATCTATCAGTATAAACATTTTCATATAAGCTACGAGACCAAAAACACCAAAGTAAAAACCTGAATCTTGCCTTTTCCTTTAACAATTCTGGCTTTTTTTCCCGCCTTAATTGCAATATTGATCTTAAAACCTTTCAACTGTGTCAAAACTGAAAAGTATTAAGCTGAATCTAACATTTTACCTTCACAATTCTGATGTTTTGTGGTCAGTGAGTTGAAAGGAAGATTTAGGTTATGAGTTTTCACAAAATTTAAAGTTTTTAAGCTCAATCTTGTAATTCTGCAATAAAACTTAACAGTACAAAAAAATTATAAAATAAAATTTAAAAAAAATTGTGAAGGGAAAAGGCAAGATTGTTTTTTTGTTTTTTTTTTGTCAGATAAAGTGCAAGATTGTTCTTAAAACCTTTTAACTGTGTTAACTAAAATGTAATAACCCGAATTTGAGACTTTCCCTTCACAGCTTTGACTTTTTTGTTGTTGCTAAATTGAAAGATAGACATTAAAATTCATAGATGTAAACTAAATATACAAGTTAACTCACAATTGCTCCATAAAACGATCTAAACATTTATAAATTGGAGTAAAAATATTCTACAATCATTGGTTTGCATATTAAAGTCACCATAAAAAAAAATCGAATTAATATCACTGTTGCTTTCTTCTGGAACATTGCTTGATGTGTTGATTCATCTGTCTATATAATGGTTTCACTTTCCTTTTTAGAAGTGCTTGGTGCTGTTCCTGCAGGTATGTGTGTGTGTTTCAGTATTAGTGGTACTCATCTGAAAGGCTTGTAACATTAGTGTCTATTATCTTTGTGCAGCATCTGTGAATCGCAGGCAGGAGCGGACGGTGATCGGCTTCTCCGTGGCCGCTGGTCTTTTCGGTGGACTCTGCGTCATCATGCTAGCTGTGCTAATCTATAAGATCAGCAAGAGCCGATTCAGTGTAGGAAAATCCACACTTTCCCACTGACAGTCACAATTCTGCATCCCATTCTTCCCATTCTTGTAGCTTTAGTCATGTGATAGTAGATCTGTGTCTTACAGTTTAAAACAATCTACTGAAGTACATCATACTCATGCATGCAACGATTTGTTATTCCATTGATATGTAGGCATTTTGGGGGTTTCTATATGAGGGCAAAATGTATTTTTCTAATGTTGTCATATTGAATACATTAAAGCAATACCCAAATAAGGATTTAGTTAGTTTTATGTGGATTTGTTTTTACATTGCAGGATATTTGGAGCCCAAAACGAATTTTTTTATTTATTTATTTTTTGGTCAGAATGTGGAGTTTATATTTACCAATAAACCTTTTTTTTGCCTATTGAGATCTCTCCTTACTTGCAAAGAAATGAGATTTTCCCCTTCCAGAATTAGATTTTTTTTTAGTTCTGAAATAAAATAAATGATTAAAAATTAGGATAAAAAGGTCAACTCTGGGATAAAAACTTAAAACTTTGAGGCATTAAACTATTCACAATATATTTTTATTTATATGTTTTTACTCTTAAAAAAAAAGAACTACAAGATCACCTAACAAGTAGCAAATCTGGCCCAGATTTGGTATAAAGCAGGTACAGCAGTCATTCGTCTGGCACTGGCATACAGCACGTGGGCCAAACATGGCCCAGGTTTGACCGAGGTGGCACCGTCTTACAGGCGGCACTCAAGACTTGGGCCTGATATGAAGTGTAGTATTTGGCCCAGATGTTAAAAATATATGTGGGTCACGCAAGTCTGGTCTATCTTGACCCATTTTTAAAATACATTTAAATTATTTAAGTAAAGAAAAAAAATCTATCAATCAGGTCGCTTCAAGAAAAAGCACATCCATAAAGCGAAATGCTTCATGGTTTATAAAAAAACATTGCAGTCGTGACACCAACATTCCTGGCCCAGTTCAGGTCCAGTTATGGGTTATTGACTTGGTTATAAACTAGTAACTTTCCATGTTTGCCTCTTAAATGGAAGCCAGACTTGTCATGCACCGTAATTCACTGCGGCATGGGCCAAGCAAATGCTGATGGTGTGGGCCAGATCTGGGCCGAGGAAATGAGTTGAGCTGTCAAAATAACCAGAAAAGAAAACATGATTCATGAAGGTAAAAGTATTCAGAATTTCAAAATGTAAAGCCTAAATTCTGGTAAACAAATGAAAAGCTAGAAATCAGAATTTATGTACTGTAATTTACAATTCTGAACTTTAAAATGTGAGGTAAAAAGAAAAGCAAGAAATAAAAATAATATGCCTTTTGTAAAACATCAACACAGAATTGATTTCTTTTTCTTTAAATTGCCTTTGGAATGTTCAGAGCAGACGTTTATTACATGAAACTATCAAAAATATATTAAAAACAATAATGTGTCATCATCAGAAAGCTCTAAGTGATGAAACTCTTTATAATGCATTTGAGTGGAAGGCATCATTTCATCATCAGTACAGTGTAAATTACGGTTTGTAGCATTATACACATTTACAGTAATCCATGAATTCAATGCAATTTCATAAATGAATAATACATCCCAAATTAACATCCTTGACTTCATTTATTTAGAGGGAAAAATATAAGCGAGGTTTTACAAACTTATTTTGAGGAACAAGTAATATAATTGATCGTGTCTGGTCTTTAATCTGTAATCATTTGTAAGCCAATTGGATAATTCCAAACTCACCATAAATAGCCCATCTAGCATCACTTCCTCGTCTTGGTTTTTTTTTTTTTTTTTTTTTTTAAAGAATCCCCCCCACCCATCCACCCTTTTTCTCATTTAACAAGGAGAGCTCTCAAGGACTACCTGATTTCATACCCTCTTACATGCTCATGGACCAGACTGGAATTATCTCCAACCCCAGGACATTCTTAAACCTGCTGATATTATTAGGCATGATCTAACTGAACTCGAGGGGAAAAAAAGGTTTAATTTTTGGTGAATTTTGTCTTAAAATCAGGGATGCCAAAACTTTATCAAAGGCCAACAACTAAACTTGATTGAGGGTGGTGGGCTGGAGGTAAATACACCAAACTGTAAAGTTGGCAGTGTAATTTCCCAATTTATTATTATAATTCAATATATGATTTAATACTATAATTTATTACATTAAAAATACTTTAATTGTATTATTAATGATACATTTTATAATGAATTGATGTCTTCCATTAAAAAACAATGCCATTTATAACACTAAAAAAAAGACTTTGCAGAAGACATCAGCAAGAATCAAGGCAATGTCTGCCATCCATCAAGTGACTGTATTTACTATTATTTTTGATCGGATTGATTCACAACATTTAATTAAAACCTTTAATATCAGTTTGCTTTTTTTGTATCTCGACATTTAAAAAGCAAAAGTTATGTTAAATTACAAATGACAATGTCTGATAAATTCCCCCCAAAACTCCATTTTCCCTGTCTTCTCAGATGGGATGGAGGGCCAAATCAAAGGTTAACGTGGGCCAACTTTGGGCATCTCTGCTGTAAATTAACTACACTAATTAAACATTAAAAATAAAGTATGAATCAGTGACAAAAAACCCCAGAGTTTTATAAAACAGACTTTATTAACATTTTTTAGAAACAATCTTCTCCCTTTTTTGCACAGACTTGTGTAAATGACAAAAATGCTGAAGATGTGAACGCAACAAGAGGAAAACAAAATAACGATTCTCCTTTGATATCAGTGCAACACTATACTGAAGTCCATACACACAGGAGACGTTTGGCATTGAGGATGCTCACAGGTACGGATGGATTTTTATCGGGGAACTGAAAAAACTAGCCAATATATATTGACAAGGCGTGAGAGTTAAGCTAATGAAACAATTCAGCAGCAGAATGTCACATTTCCTCAATATACATTTCTGGACACAAAAACAAGCAGAAAGTCTCCCATTCACATTAATAATAATAATAAAAAAGGACAGCGTGTTTGCTTTGGTCAAGCATGCCATTCTGATTTCCTCCAACAAACAGGGACTGTGTGTTTTACTTTTTGAGAGGGAGAAGATCATAAATTCATGGATTAAGAAGCCAAAATGAATGTGAATGGAAAGAGTAAAGATGGACTTGAGGTTTTTTTTCTTTTGGCTCAGGAAACTACAGAAATATACACCTTCATTTTCAAGCGCTTCCAATGTGTTGAGACAGTAAGGGGGGAAAAGAAAAGAATTAAAGGATTTTTGAACCATTTAACGGAGTCAATAAATATAACAAAAAGCCTTTAAGAATTCCAGATGTTATAATTCATCCTCTATGTGGTTTTCTGATTTACTGCTCTCTGTCGATTCTGCAAAAAGTAAATAAAAGAGAGAAACAGTTTGAGCTACTAATATTTAAGAGAAAGCTGTCAATATTACTGGTGCTTCATGAGAATGCAAGTCAACAAGCAAAACGGATACACAGGAGACACTCAATTGAACACCCAGACTACAAAGAAATGTATGGTCAGGTAATGATGTTAGAAGCTGAATATTGTCCTAAAGTAAGCACTTGATTATTCTTTAATGTTTAAATAAATACTTTTTGGTACCAAACCATCCCGGACGAGCCCCCATATTTGTCACAACCCGGCTCAAAGGCAATGACAAAATTAAAGGGAGGACATACACCGGATGGTTTGGTACCAAAAAGTATTTATTTAAACATTAAAGAATAATCAAGTGCTCACTTTAGTTCAGCAACATGAAATATTAACCAAAGCTAAAAAGAAACAAAACAAACAGGAGCAAAAGCAGCGTTTAAGAGGTGTTATATATGTGGAGTTTTAGTGCACGCACATGAACACTGAAGTCTCCATAGACTTCCTTGTGAAGGCTGATTTATAGTTCCGCGTCAAGCACACAAATAATTTTCAAATCATGTCTTCACGTTCTAAGAAGCTAAAATAAAATCAATTTAAAAGAACAATTAAATACAATGATTAGAATATAAACGGAAATAAAGTCAACATGCAACAGATATGAGGCAGAGCTAAATGTGTTATAACGTAAATGTAAAGAGACCGTCGTGTAATAAATACTGATCAATATGAGGTGGAACACCAGTGCAGCCTGCGTGTAGAGGCATCGCCGTCGCCAACCTCTCAGAAGAAAAAAAAAAAAAAAAAACTCGCTGCCAGCTAGCGTTTTGGAAGTGTTTTTGAAGAGCAACACAAACAGCACGCAGAAGTCTAAATGCACAACAATGCGCAAGGCATGTGCCGTGAGTCATGCCAATCTCTCGACACAGAAGTATAAACCAGGCTTGAGACACTTCTTATCACATATTCAGTTTTGAACGAAGATAACAGTAGTCCTGTCCACAACCTCCTTTAAATTTCAAAGTGAGTCATTAAACCTGATTTGTTAAGGCTTTGATGCAAATTGTGCAGTTTCAAAGAGTTATAAATAAATATTTTTGTGAGGCATTTTCAGCTGAAATTTCACACCCTCTGGGAACAAAGACTTGTTACATCTTATAAAAAGGGAAATATACCCCCTTTAAATTTGCATGTGGCCTTAACCCAGCATTAGACACGTCACTGCTGTTTGTCATGCCTCCAGCATAAAAGGGATAGTTCCTCAAAACTGAAAATTCTGTCATTTCCTCATCCTTACTTGTTTCAAACCCATTTTAAATTCACTCTTCTATTGAACAAGGAAAATGTACAGAATAATGATGGAAACAAAACAGCCATTGACCTCCTTAGTGCCATTTTTACTCTTAAGGCTCATACACACTGGGACGCTTTTCGTTTGTGTACATCGTCAGCGTTTTAAGAGACGTTATTCCGGATTTAAACCTAAGAGATTTTCACTGGTGCTGAGCAGAAAAGTTTTCAAAATCAATCCTTGATGTTAGATGGAGCTACACAACTTTAAGCTTCTGACACCTGCTTGTAATGGATGGTTCAAGTAGCAGCTACAGCTCTAGCGATGAAGAAATTATTAATGTTTTGCAATAAGGTTCATATCATAAAGAAACTTAAACAGGTTTAGAATGTTTGAGGGAAATTTACATCTTGGATAATTTAAATCATTTTCAATATATTTTTCACAATTTTTGACTAAACCATCCCATTAAACAACAACAAAAGACTTGATTTAAAATGGTTTTGCCTCGTTGTTAGGACAGATAGCAGATTGAGACTTACCTGTTTTATCATCCGTATTTTCAGCTGGATTTAGTTCAAGTATGGTTTCTTCCGCTTTTTCTTCAACGACCGGAGGTTCCTCTGCCGGCTTCACCTTTTCCGCTACAACAAGTGACACATACGTGTTTTTACACCACAAATGAAAAGTTATACAATCTCTTAAAAATAAATAAATAAATAACAGAAAAGATCAATGCTAATATGAAGCAGTGGTCACAGTCTTACCGCCGTCCTCAGTTTTAGGAGGAATGACCTTCTCTGCATCGTCTGTGCTGTTAGCTTTGCTGCTCTCGCTGGTGCTGTTCTTGTCTTTCGCTTTGTCTTTAGGTTTTGGTTTGGCAAACTTGGCTTTGTTCAGCAGGTAATTGACCTCTCTGTCTAAGAGAGAAAGCTTTGCTTCGATGTCCTTCGACAGCAGAACTGGTTTTACTGTCGGGGATAATTTCTCCTGTTCAGCAACAGTCTCGTTTTTCCATGTCTGCAATAAAGAAAAAAAAAAAAAAAACACAAAATTGCAGAGGAAAATATATCTTGCAGAAATCAAGGGAAGAATAAAAAAATAACAATAAATAAAAATCTGTGGGAAAAAGTAAAGCTATTACTTACGATCGTCTCATTGATGACTTTCTCTAATGTCTTCAGTTCAACCTCTGTGAAGATCTGGTCACTCTCAGGAATCAGTCTGGCACTCCTGAAAATAGACATGTCATTTATATGCGAGTAATGCAGTGACTACCATAAAAATACCCAAAATAATTAATTTTTTAATTATTTATTGTTTATTTTATTCTTTTTTTTTTAAATGTACTAAATAATTTAATATATTTTAATAATAAATTGTAAAATAATACATGCGTACATAGTGTACACACACACACTTTTCTTTTGTACCTTTTTAATATTAATATATGAAATTATTTAGTACATCTAAAACGAATAAAAATCAATGTATTAAATGTATTATTGTACAATGTATTATTAAATGTAAACCGTCAATGTACATTTGTATGTTTTTTTTTTATTTTATCAAATATGTTAAAGGTAATTATAGAATTTTATAAAAAACCTTTTTTTTTTTTTTTTATAAATTCTCAAGTTCCCTCTGTAAATCATTAATTATAAAAAAAACTCATATATTACCTATTTTTGACCATCCTTGCATCCCGAATCGTACATTCAGCTTCAGTTATCATGAAGTAATGAAGTTTGAATTTCACATTTTTTGTTTACACTCTCCCATGTTAAGACGTTTTGTCCAAATGTTTATTTCTGTGTTATTTGTCATTTTAGAATTTTTTTATATAGTTTAACTCAACTACAACGTTTATGAGAAAGCATAATCTTCAGGGCACTGAGAGAAAAAGCACTGTCATCTGTTCTTCTTCTCATTCATTTGTGCAAAATGTTTAGGTTGTACCAGTAGTAGATTCATTATTTGTCAATTTTGTTTCTGTAATACACTACCTGACAAAAGTCTTGTCACCTACCTGAATTTTAGGAACAACAAATAATAACTTGACTTCCAGATTTGGTATCAGAAGTAGCTTATGTGAAAGCTTTAGATTACACCTATTTTACCAAAATAAAATATGATCATGTCTTGATTTTTAATTATTTAATTAGGACAGTAAGGTCTGACCTTGCTTAGACAAAAACCTTGTCACTTAACAGATATAATGTACAGTATAGAATATAAAGTCATGGTGCAGTGGAAAAAGAATTAATACGGTGTATGACTCCCATGAGCTTGGAGGACTACATCCATACATCTCTGCAATGACTTAATCTGGAATGACAAAGAAAGCGTTCTTGCAGGACTCGCAAAGTTCATCAAGATTCTTTAGATTCATCTTCACTGCCTTCTCCATCTTCAGACATGCTCAATTATGTTCATTTCTAGTGACTGGGCTGGCCAATCCTGGAGCACCTTGATCTCCTTTGCTTTCAGGAACTTTGTGGAGGCCGAAGTATGAGGAGCGCTGTCCTTCTGAACAATTTGCCCTCTCCTGTGGTTTGTAATGTAATGGGCAGCACAAATGTCTTGATAACTCATGTTATCTGTTGATGTTGTCAATGCCATTCACTCTGCAGATCTCTCGCACACCCCCTTACTGAATGTAACCCCAAACCATGATTTTTCCTTCACCAAACTTGACTGATTTCTGTGAGAATCTTGGGTCCATGCAGGTTCCAATAGGTCTTCTGCAGTATTTGTGATGATTGGGATGCAGTTCAGATGATTTATCAGAAAAAAATAAAATAATAATAATAATAATAATAAAAATAAATAAATAAAAAAAAAAAATCTACCTTCTGCCACTTTTCCAAATGATCAAGTAGAAGCTATTATTTGTTGCTCTTACAACTAGACTTAACGACAAGACTTTTGTCAGGTAGTGTTTTTCTCATTTACTTTTTAAAATATATAACAAAATACATCAAATTCTGTTTTAGACATGCCGTGTGATATCTGGTTAGAGATTAGCATTCTGAGCTAAAGCCACTCACCTATAAAGAGAAATGGTGGAAAACGTCAACCGTTAGCAACTTAAAGTTTTAAAAAGTTAGCTATAGAACCAATTGTTCCCTATTCTTTACATTAATAATGGATTCAGTTTACTGTAAATATTTATATTTGTTGTATATCATTCCAGTAATTAACGCATTTATATATAAAATCATTTAAAATAATTATAAACAATAGATAATCATTTAAATAGTGACATACATTTAATTTAGTTTTCATTTAATGTCATATAAAATCTCAAAAATATAAATTGTAATACATAAATTATATACAAATAATATTACATATTGATTATATACATATAAATAAAGGTAAATAAATATATTGGTTATATATTTTGTATTACTATATACAAATAATACAAAATATATAAAGGTAACCAAGCACACACATGCACTAAATATAATTATTTAAATGATTATATTTAAATAATTACACACATTCATACTGTTTAAATATATTTATTTAAATAAATAAAATGTACAGGATGTGAGAGGAGATGGCTGGTGCGCTGTCACTCACTTGAGGAAGATGTTGGAGTGGTTGAGCATGCTGTCCAGAGCTGCCAGTCTGTCGGGCCACTTCTTCCTCTCCTCCACCCTGAAGAACATGCCTTTACAAAGCTTCTTCAGTTCAGACAGCTTCTCCTTCAGCAGTTTGGTGCCTGCGCTGTATCCCTCCTCATCCATCCAGCTGGACGCCTCGCTCAGCCTGCCTGAAATCTGCTCCTTCTCCTCCTCTGTCACCACAGCCTGATACTCATCCTGATACAGCTTATCCTACAGAGACACAATGACAGACATTTGTTTTAATTTGTAAGAGGATGGTTGATTAAAACAGCTTTCACTATAGTAGCTGAACTAAGCTCTGTTATTCAAGTCGTTCATTAAAAGCCTTGAAAGGGAGAAATTCACCCACGCAAAACATCATTTGTTGTTGATTTACTTGCTGTACGTTACTTGTCCCTCTTCAGTTCAGTAAAACATTAAACATGATTTTTAGCCGAAATTGTGATACTTGGTGATCCAGACAAGGAATCTGTAGGACTTAGTGAAGATGAAAAATTACAGTAAAACATTCACAACATGTCATATTTTTTATATATACAGTGCGGTGTACAGCCATTTCCAGATCTCTCCATAGATGTTCAATAGGATTTAGGTCTGGGCTCTGGCTGGGTCACTCAAGGACATTCACAGAGTTGTTGTGAAGTCACTCCATTGATAATTTGGCGGTGTGCTTTGGGTCATTTTCCTGCTGGAAGAACCATCGCCCCAGTTTGAGGTCAAGAGCACTCTGAAGCAGGTTTTCATTCAGGACATTTCTGTACATTGCTGCATTCATCTTTCCCTCTATCCTGACTAGTCTTCCAGTTCCTGCTGCTCAAAAACATCCCCACAGTATGATGCTGCCACCACCATGCTTTACTGTAGGGATGGTATTAGCCTGGTGATGAGCAGTTCTTGGTTTTCTCTAAACGTAACGCCTGGCATTCACTCCAACGAGTTAAATTTTAGTCTCATCAGACCAGAGAATTTTGTTTCTTATGGTCTAAGAGTGCTTCAGATGCCTTTTGGAAATTTCCAGACGGACAGTGGCTTCTGTCAAGCCACTGTACCATACAGGCCTGATTGGTAAATTACTGCACAGATGTTTGTCCTTCTTTAAGGTTCTCCTTTCTCCACAGAAGAACTGTGGAGCTCAGACAGAGTGACCATCAGATTATTGATCACCCCTCTGACTAAGGCCCTTCTACCCCGATCACTCAGCTTAGATGGCCGGCCAGCTCTAGGAAGAGTGCTGGTGGTTACAAACATCTTCCACATACAGATGATGGAGGCCACTGGGCTCATTGGAACTTTTAGAGCAGCAGAAATTTTTTTGTAACCTTCAACAGCCTTGTGCCTCGAGACAATCCCGTCTCAGAGGTCTATATACAATTCCTTTATCTTCATGCTTAGTTTGTGCTTTGACATGCACTTTCAACCCTGGGACCTTATATAGATTGTGCCTTTTTAAATCATGTCCAATCAACTGAATTTACCACAGTTGAACCAGTTAAGCTGCTGTAACATCTCAAGAATAATCAGTGGAAACAGAATGTAACTGAGCTCAATTTAGAGCGTCACGGCAAAGGTTGTGACTTTGCGAAAGACTAAACTATTATAATGAAATATATAGTGCCATTAAAAAGTAAGTTCTTTAGAATTATTTGATTAAAAAAAATAATTAATTTCACAGGAGCAGGAGTGTTTTTTTTTTTTGCAAAAATGTATGCAAAATTTGCACATACATGAAGTCAGAAATGACTAAAATGAAGAACAAAAATCATTTCCTAATAACCACATGCAAAAAAAAATAATAAATAAATAAGTAACCTACATCTTGTACAGCCTGATGGTGAGTAAATGAACAGCAAATTTACATTGAGTAAACTCTCCCAGATATTTTATATGGCCTAAAGCTGTGCAAATAGATCTATTCACATACGGACAAAGACAGTCCGGTCAATGTAGTTGTGTATGATCTGTGAGGGACGGATCAAACAGTGAGAAGAGCTTCATTATACCTGCGTCTCAAAGATAAAAGCCTCCAGGCTGTTCAGGGTCTTTTCTCTCTCCTGCTTCTCCAAATCACGGTCAGTGAGGTCCTGCAACCTGATATTACAGAGGAACACAAGAGAGTTCTTCAGTTACTCTGGCCCATTTCCCACTCTCTGTTAAAATGTTAGATCACCCAAACATTAAAATCCCATTAATAATTATTAAGACATGTTATTCTAATCTATTTACGCTGCTATTCATCTTTAGAACTCAAATTAAGATATTAAGATGAAATCGGAGAGCTTTCTGACCCTCAATAGACAGCAATGGTCAAAATATGTGCAGAAATAGATAACAAAAAAAAAAACATTGTTCGAAGACAATGTTCGAACAATGAAAAGTGCCATCGGAAATTTTCATCTAAAATGAACATTTTTCTCACCCTCATGTTTATGCTTAGTTTTTCCACTTTAAAATGCAATGAAAAGAACCTATTTTGTTTCATAAAAATGGAGCTACTAAACTTACACACAGGAGGCTGAGAAAAATGCTCATTTTAGAAGAACATTTCAGATGGCACTTTGCACCTCAAATCATCATTTTCTTTGAAATATTAAACTTTAATTTCCAAAAGACATGATATGTGAACAACCTGTATGGTTTCATTCGAGAATGAATGAAGTTGATCACAACTTTGTCGTAAACCAATGCCTATCAAAAGTGCACCGTTGCCAGTAGAAATGCAAGCCTGATCAAGGACCCCCACTGAACTCCACCATTTTCAGTGCACAAAAGTGTTCTTGATGCTTCCTATGAGTATAAATGAACCACTGAAGTCACTTTTAGTTTTTTGACAATGTTTTGGTTCCTTTTCTGGACATCGAATGTCTTGGGACCCTTAAGGTCTTTGCACACTGATGTCGAAATTTTAAACCAAAAAGTAAAAAAAAAAAAACTTTGCCAAAGTTATCTGTAGCTCAAATGACTGCATTCTTTGATTAGCTTTTCGCTTGTACAGTGGCTCTACACTGTCAAAAAAAACTTTTTTCGGATGCAAAATGTGGGAAAAAAAAAAAAAAAAAAAAAAAAAAAAAAATCAATCAATCCCTGTTCTAATGTTTTTATGACAGGCCAAAGTTTCCGATACAGTGTGCCAATAAGATTTACACAATGTGAGGTCAAAATGATTTTTTAACATGCAAAAATTAGGGATGAAAATTTCAGATTCAGTTTGCAATAACCTTTACTGTCAGAGAGCTCCTGGATTTCATCAAAGTACCTTAATTTGTTTTCTGAAGATGAACGAAGGTCTATTAAAATATTATTAAAATGACATTAATAACAGAATTTTTATTTTTGGGGGAACCAACTTATTACTTTGTTAGTGTATGATTTTTCTTCTGTGTGTGATTTGTTATGTTTTTGAATATGGATTAAGATTCTTCAATAAAGGGAATAGTAACTACAAATAATAACCATTTAATTCTCAATGTTAATAAGACTCACTTCTTCTTGGAACCCTCCATGTCCTCAGTGCTGGGATCCAGCACATCGTTCACTTCCAGCTCCACTGCAATGTCTGCTGATATTTTGCTCTTTTTCTGCAGTTTGGGTTTCATGTCAGCCTCCTTCTCCTCATCGGTTGTTTTTTCTTCAGGTTTTTCTGTTTTCTCTGATTCAGTTTCTCCCTGCAAGATGGAGGAGGAAAGAGTAAAAAAAAAAAAAAAAAAATTATATATATATATATATATATATATATATATATATATATATATATATATATATATATATATATATATATATATATATATTTATTGAGTATATTACCTACACGTGGTATTCAAACAATAGGTTAAAAAAAGGTAAATCTCTATTTTGAGAACTGGACAGTGATGATTTACTGCAGCGGAAAAAAGTCCAGTCAGTTTGGTATTGTGTACTATGATAAAACACATGGGGAAGCCAAAACCCTCTGAAGGGATTAAAAGGGTGGAACAGGTGTGTGCGTGTCATGAAAGGTGATTTAGTGTTTCCTCTCACCTGATTTTCAGCTTTTTCTTTGTCTTCTTTCTGCTCCTCGGCCTGAGGCTCTGCTTCTTTTCCCTCCTCCGTCTCTGGCTTCTCCTGGACAGTTTCTTCCTGCTTCTCTGGCTGATCCTGCTCTTTTCCAGCCTCTGGAGTCACTTCTTCTTCATCCTGAGCCGTTGTGAAAAATCAAGAATGTGATGCTTGAGTTTGAGAAAATTTGATTGAAATATCTGCCTTAAAAGTCATCATGCAGATTTACCGTAACTGGTTCGGTCACATTTGCACTCGGCTCTGAGCTGCCTCCACCAAACAGACTGGAAATGGTGTTTCCAAGCTCTGCAGGTTAAAAACACACAAAAACACATATATTTATTTGAATAAGTGAAGCAGACCTGCATCATAGATCCATTCAAAACATTTTATATACACTATATAAAAAAGTATAGCTTTATTCATTATAGACACTAATATCTAACAAAATAAAAATAAAACAATTGAGCAAATAAATCTAAACAAAAAATAAATATTAGATAAACAGTTAAAAAATGCAAACAAATAAAAACTGAAATAAGTTGTATTCTAACAGATACATGCCCATTCCCTGCAACTATCTTAATAAATAACTGACATTTTACAAAAAGAAATATACTATATGTTACGTCCGCTTGCAGAATGCTGCATGTGTGTGCGTTTGTTTGTATGTGGGTCGGTGTGTCGTTTTACATGCGTGTTACAGGTATGAACGGCATTGGAGGATCCGCATTTCGTGCTGATGACGTTGGCCACTGACGCTGGGTTCGTGCCACCAATTGCTGGTCGGCATAGTGTTTAAAAGCAGAGCCCAAACTGCAATGCAGATCTCTCTCCATCTCTCTCTCACTCTTTATTTGAGTGTCTGTGAGGACAGTCTATCTTGTGAGGACTAGTCTCAGTATGTGTTTTTATTTTGCTTGTGATTTAATGCTCTTATCTAAAGTCTTTTAAGATTGCAAATTGCAATGCGTTTGCTTGTGAACTCGTCCAGTTAACTGATACCTGTTTGAGTGATACCTCAGAGAGAGTGTCGAAGTGAGCAAGTCGCGTGATAAACATACTGTATAACACTCAGAATCCTTTTTGTATTACTTCATTAGGTTCAGAAAAGTGTGCTGTTTTGTGTAAGTTGTTTTTTTAATTAAAGAAGTTTAGTTAAGACGTTTGATATGTTGAAGATGTTTCTTTTCATGCTTTTCTTAAGACATTTAGTTTAGTTTATTACAGTTAGTGTGTTTTGTTATATTTATTTCTTCGATTTAAGCACCTCTACCTCCTCTCCAACAGGTAATTTATCATTTTTTCATTGTAAATATTTTTCTTTCACCTGTACAATACATCAATCTATGTTCACTGGAAGTATGGGCAATAAATAATCAATTGCAGTGATTTCTAGTTTTTAGTCGTTTCTTCATACATTTGTCACTCAAACACACACACAAAACTATTAGAGCCAAATACCCTTATTTTAAAATTAACATCAAAAAAGATGTAACACTATGTGTAAAATCAAATAATAAAAAAATAATAATACTAATATACAGTTTTACATGATTAAAGATTCATTGCATTTAACAAAAATATACAATATTATAAATTAGGTTAAAAAATGTATTAATATTTATAAAATCACACAGACTGCATTATTTTATCAGTAATGCAGAAAAACAGTAAAATAACATAGTACATTTATACCAAATAAATCATAATTTAGTATTGATTTATCAAGTCTACTTTATATTACAATTTCAAATTGGTTTTTATTTATCATAAAATTATAATGACGACTAAATTAATATTGCTTTTCTGAAGTCTTACAACCACTATAACATAATTATTTATATACAATCCTCAGTCCAATAACAATATTAAATGTGAAATAATAAAAATAATAATTACTTGTGAGCGTGGACTCCTCTTCCTTCTCCTCCACAATGGTTTCAAACACAGACTCCACCTGAGACAGAAATCAGAGTCCCACTTAGTGAGAAAATCTACTAGTTAAAGCTCCGCTGATGATATAAACTGATGTTCAGATCTTACCCGGTCCAGAATTAACACCCCGCTCTCATCCATGTTGAAATGTGCCTTGATGCCTTTGGATTCAGCATCTGAATGCTTCTTAAAGCTGCTGCCGACTCCAGACAGCTTCACTGTTGTCAGATTCTGAGAGCCAAACACTCTTCAAAAGTAAAAACAGCAATATTGGTGACATAATAAACTTACTCTAATTAATAAAACAGGAATAGAAGAAATAAAAACAGTCACTAACTTCATGTCCTGTTCACTGAGGAAGCTGAGGTCTCCATAGTTGATGTAAAAGACAAAGTCATCAATGTAGCGGTTGAACGTGATGACCTTCCTCTGGGGATATGGAGCCATTCTCTGAAACAAAATGCGCTTGTTGTGCTTCAGAGACTTCACGCCATCCTCTTCCTCAGTCTCACGACTGAACTCCACCTAAAGAGAACGACAGAAAAAAATAAAAATAAATAAAAAATGCAGAAACATTGTAATCCACTGAATTTCAATGAAATTCTGAGCATTTGCTTGCGCGTTTGGAATGGCGGTCTTTGTTTACGTCAGTTTGACGACTTCAGCCACAATATTTATAATCTTACTTTGCTATGAGGGAATGATGAACAAAAAAAATGCCTTGCCCCTACACAATATTTTGTTTCATTTGAAGGTAAATCAACATACTAAAATTAACTTGGGGATTATGCGAACTTAAAAAGTTTTTGCATTTCACAGTTTGTCCACAAGAGCGCAAGATTGAACTGAAGTCCTTGCTTCAGTCAGAAAATATACAGCTAAAAAGATTCAAAAACAGCCGACACTTACTTTGACAAGTGCATGTGTGAATAGAAGTGGACTTTTTTTATTTGCTATTTCTTTTAATAGATATTTTTTTTAATTTGCAAATTTTTTAGAATGATTTTGAGAGTACAGGAGCTGAAAACTTGATCATGTGCATATTGTTTAATAATATAAAAACTGAATAAATATATATTTAAACAAATTTATACAATTAAATAGTTACTGAATTACGGGCTCAAAAAATAAAACTCAAATATTCGCAGAAAGTGTGAAATTCTGTAGCTGCAGATTCTGTGTGTGCATATCAAAAAGTCTCGTTTCACTGAACCTGCAATATTTTAAATGCAAATCAGTTCTTAAATATTACAATTATTCTATTAAAAGTAATGATTAAAAGTTCAGGGATCATCTTAGATGATTATTTAAGCGAGGTGTGAATAATTCTTTCTTCCCCCTCTCACCTGTATGGGAAACACTGCTGCATCTCTGACCAAGAAGGGTTTGACTTTGAAGGCTTTGCTGAGTGCAGCGGCCTGATAAACAGCACCCATTGCCGCAGCTTCATCTGCATTAATGTTCTTGCTCAGTTCCTCTCTGGAGAAAAATCACAACACAAGTTAAACCTGAAGCCAAGCTGAAATAACTTGGACATTAAAGCTAAAATCTGTTTACTTAAAACTTCAATTAAAGCCAAATAAAGTAATTAATCTTCCAAGATGTTATTAGATTATTTCCAATTCTGTGGAATGAAAGAACCAAATCCAGCTACTCATCTGCCACAGCTTTGTTTGTAACTCTTATCATTAGTGGAACAAAGACAATATTATGTCTAAAATGTAAAAGTCAACATAAATTTGAAGTTTCTTAAACTGTTGTCCAAATAAACAATACATTTGCATGACTTTCTGGTAAAACTGCACTCTTGCTTGTGAGATATTACTTAAATACTCTATCATCTACATATAAAAAGGCCATTCAGGGATATTTTTTGGTTTCATAACTTCTAGCATTTTAATGAACTTTTTCATGCTGTAAATATGTTTGGACAAATGTTTATGTGTTTTTTTTTCTTGCAAAGTGACTGACACAATTAATAATTTCTACTCGCACATCTATAAAAACAAACTAATTGTTCAACAAAAAAATAAACTGACAAGAAACATACTTTCCCACAGATTTGAGCAGCACATCCTGCACTTTGGGCACTCTAGTTGCTCCTCCAACCAAAATAACCTGTTCAATTTCATCCTGTTGGTCAAAGGCATTTCAGATTATTTTTAATCACAGACAGTCCTGCAGTTAACCAATGCTGTGATTTTTTTTTTTTTATCCGCTCACCATGCTCATCTCAGCCGCAGCTAATGCTTGTTTCACAGGTCCAGGGACTCTGTCAAACAGATCCTCACAAAGAGCCTCAAACTCAGAGCGAGTCACTTTTGCCTTGAAGTCAATGTCATCCATCAGACCTTCAATCTGAGAGAAAAGAACATCAAGAGCTTAGACATGGGTGAAGCAGACAATCAAATGATATGCAAACTGGCTTTCAGAACAGAGACATGTAAAAAAAATAAAAAGTGCAGGGCAAAGATTAAATTTAGGTTTGTTTTGACAATTTACAGTACATTTATGCAAATATTTGATAACTTAAAGATGTACATTTATATAATTTATATATATAAATGTAAATATCTGTGCAATTTTTTTTTTTTTTTTTGGATATATTTGTTTTTATATTTGTTTGTATTACCTGTGGATAATAAGTATATTGCCCTAGGGCTTGAGTGTCCCCATACATGGACAGCACATTTTAGCTCTTAAGTGGCTATTTAAAATACTTTGAATGTTTTATATTTTGTTACAGACATATAGTGTCATCCTACAACGTTTTTGCAGCATATGAAATGTCCCAAACCCTATTTTATTTAACTGTCCAAAATGGGAACAATTTTTGTTTTTACTTTCTGATAGTCAAAGCAAGTTCAAAATTGTTTTCTTTGTTATATATGCATTTAAAGGTTTATGTAAATTCGGACCACGAGTCCACATATATGGACATCATTATTTTTTTTAAAGCACATCACATTAAAAGATGACACTTTTTTTATCCTAATTAGGTTTCAATAAGCACACATAGCAAAGAGAAATAAAAAAAACTGCATGTATAAAAAAAAACACCTTGGGTCTTAAGAGGTTAAATAATACACACTCGCATCTTAAAAAAACTTTTTTTGGGTGTACAAAAAAATATTTACCCAGCACTAATAAAAACTAGAAATAGCCTGTATGGTAAGAGTTGTTTGTCTGTCTGCATATTTTGAAGGTCTAATAAATCTCACACGGTCACCACAATTTGATAACGCTCATTTAATCAAGGCCGCCCAATTTGGGGAAACATTATGCTCCGGGTATTACTTTTAGTAGACACTGCATGGTCCAAATGTGGCTCTGAACCACAAAAACTTATGTTAAAAGTCAGAAATACATTGTATGGATCAAAATTATTGATTTTACTTTCATGCACAAAATCATTAGAATACAAAGTAACCCACTCCCACTCAATCCTCTCTTTAGATTAGGAATTTACAGTTGATAATAACCTAAAGTTGAGGTAATAAATAAAGACTTGACCCTCTCTGACCTATGTATATTTAGTATTGATATTATTTATGTTACTATTTTACTGTTACTGTTATTTTCATCCATTTTAGTTTATGAAACTTAAATTTTTTTATTGTGTTCTGTTACTTTATAGTTTGTAAAGAAAAAATAAATGAATAAAATTGTTTAGCAATGGAAAATGTACACTCTCTTAAGTGGAATCATTGTACTGTATTTAGTGCTACTACAAATAAAAACAAAAACTTTAAAAAAAAAAGAATATAAAAGTAAATTATGCTCCATGAATATATTTAGTAAATTTCCTTTAATAGGTTTTAGGTATTCCTTTAGGTAATTAGGTATTCCTTTAATAGGTTGGTAATATGCATGCAAAACACTTCATTTGGATAACTTTAAAAGGCAATTCTCAATAATTTAACAATATGATTATTAACATTGTTTAAAAAAAAGCCAACTTTGAGCATTACTTTGAACATAACAGTATTTTGACACAGATCAAAAGTTTTCCCATTACCTGTGCCGTATGTTCAGCATTGGCACTCAGCACAGTTTTGAGTCTCTGAGCCTCTTTAAGGAGTTTGGCCATGGCACGCAGATTGTCCCTCACATCCTTCTTTGATTTCTTCTGTTCATTAAAGAGCTTAGCGAGATGATCTCTGAGCCTCAGCTCCATCTCAAAGCCACCGAGTGTTCGGTCAAACCTAAATATATATAAAAAAATAATAATAATAAATAAAAAATAATAATAATAATCAGATGTTTGTGTATACATGGGTATGTACAAAAAAAAAAGAAAAAAACATGTTAGTGGACTAAAACATGTCCGTGACTCACCCAACTCCACGGATCTGAAGCTGTGGCTGTGTACCGGATTCCTTCGTCTTCACTGTCTGATATGTGACAATGGTGGCTGTTGTGCTTCCTGATCCCATATCATAAAACATGATGTTCTACAAAATAATAATTACCAAATACAAGTCAAAAATCACACTTAGTCAATTAATTAATTTACCGATTCTGCTTTTTTTTTGGACAAACACTTAGCCCCGCTCACAAACACACCATTGGCTAACCATAAATAAATAATCATTTAAAAAGAAAAAAAAAAAAAAAAAGAAAACCACTTCTGGGCTCAATGTGATGCTGAAACAGCTTACAAACAAACAGGAAAACAAGCATACAAAAAGGAAGTGAATGTGTGATTGTAATCTGACATCGTATGAATACTTTACTTTGGTGTGCTCTCTGATCACATTAGGTGGGCTATTTGATTGCACAAAATACCAGTAAAAGAAAAGTAGAATTTCTAAAGCAAATCTTACTTGTGTAAAATTTTTACTGACACTAAATTGTGATCATTATTAAGACAAAAAAATTGCACTTAATATTGTGAAATGAAATTTAATTGAACTTGTTTAATGGCCTTTTTTTCTCTTCAACATCAGAGTTTGACAAGGCAGTAGGAGGACAGTAGTATCCATTTAATAAATTTTTTTAATTGCTAGGCAGTAACATATTTAATTATTAATAAGCTAAACAGATAATTACATTTTGCAGATGCTTAAGTCCAAAGCAAATTGAGGTGCAATTTAGCAATTAAACAAAAAGAGGAAATACAAACAAGTGCTAATTATACACCGTTGCTGCTCAGAGGGCGACACGGTGGCACAGTAAGTAGTGCTGTCACCTCACAGCAAGAAGGTCGCTGGTTCGAGCCTCAACTGGGTCAGTTGCATTTCTGTGTGCAGTATGCATTTACTCCCTGTGTTCACGTGGGTTTCCTCTGGGTGCTCCGGTTTCCCCCACAGTCCAAAGACATGATACAGGTAAATTGGGAGAGCTAAATCACCTGTAGTGTATCAGTGTAAATAAGTGTGTATGGATGTTTTGTTGGCGAATCATTCCGCTGTAGCAACCCCAGATTAATAAAGGGACTAAGCAGAAATGAAAATGAATGAATGAGTAGTGCTCAGAGAATTTACTGCTAGAGTACGGAGGGGGGGATTTTTTTGGGTTTTGTTTTTTGGTTTTGAGAGAAGAGCGTTTCTTCAAGTGGTTTGTCAAGCCCACTTACCTGTGTGAGGCACACTTCATAAATGCACAATGTAATGTTTTTAAGAGATAGGGTGAAATTGTCCGGTGAAAGTGTCAGTTAAAGTGTCAGCAAGATGAAAGTGCTTTTCTACAGGTGGTTTGTTAAGCCCACTCACCTGTGTGAGGCAAACTCAGAATTGCATAATGTTTTGTGGTTGTCGTACTTGTATATTATAATATAATGAGACATCTCTTAAAATCTTTCTGCTTTTTTAGGATTGTGACATGGTATCAGTTCAGTATCTAGATTAATATTAGGTAGTACTGGGACAATACTTGTTCAAATACATTTAACCACATGACTTTTTAAACAATGAACGCAAATCAAATGTGAACCGATGCATTTTTCACTACCTAGTAGTAGTAGTCAAAAGTGGACATTTTAAATCCTGTATTTGGCATCATCTACTTGTGACTGGCTTGACAAAAAGCAAGTGTAAACTGTGCTTTAAAGTACCTGTGCAGTCGAGTTGATGTCCTTTCTCCTGAAGACTCCATAGTTCAAAGCCACAGCAGTGTTATCATTGATTAGCTGAAGGACCTTTAGACCTGCAATATGAGCAGCCTGCAAAACTGCCCTGCGTTCTGCCTGATTAAAATAGGCTGGGACTGTAATCACTGCATCTTTTATGGGCTGTTCTGTTTGGAGGAAAACCAATAAGAATATTAGTGTTTAAATCCCAATTCGCAACTTATATAAAATAAAAAAGAGCTTCTTATAATCAAACCTGCAAAGTCTTGAGCCAGAGTGCGAGAGTAGTTCAAAATCATGCCCAAAAGTTCCTCTGGAGTATACTGCATCTCTCTAGTTGATGATGATATGTATAAAAATAATATTCAGAGTCATTTTTCATAGTAATATGAAGCACAATGGTTACAACTAACGCACCTGCAAAAGCTGCATTACTTACTCAGAGAACTTGAAATACACGGTGCCCCTTTTCTCATCTTTCTGCAGCTGGTGCTCAGGGAAGTGTTTCTGATATTCTGCCACCTGTGGGTTGTCTGCCGTCTTTCCCAAAATGCTCTGGAGGAATCTGTAAACCACTTTAGGATTCTTCACAGCCTGTCACGATAGAGTCAGATCACCAGAAAAAGTGAAGATGTGTTTGTCATGTCTCTATTTTATTTTTAAGTAAACATGAAAACAAAATGGACCATTTACTTTGGCATGCCAGGAGTAGGGTCTTATGTTGAAATAATTTACACTACTGTTCAAAAGTTCAAAGTCAGTGTTTGTTTTTAAATTCTCGATCAGCAACGAGACAATAAAGACGTGTATAATTGTTACAAAATAATTATTAAAAATAAACATATCTTTCTATACATGAGAAAATGTATTCTGACGAACCATGCTTCTACAAAAATAATAATAATAATAATAATAAAAAATAAATAAATAAAATATAGTAATGATAATACTAATAATAATAATAATTTAAAAAAATGTATAAGTCAAACATTTTCCAAAATTAGTAAAAAATACTTTACTAAATCAGTCCATTAAAGATTTCTAATGATGTGACATGACACCAAAGACCTTTATTTTGCTTAAAATTCTGAAGCATTGCAAAAATGCATACAATATTAATATAATGTGTATAAATGTTTACAATATCAATCTCCAACAAAAATGTGACTTTAATTAAAATAAAAAAATATATATTTAATTAAATAGTTTCTTAAAGTCAAACTATTTTAAAAGTCTTCAATTTTAATAAATAAATGTAACTTTTTTTTAACTTTTTTTCAACTAGGAAATTATTTAATAAAACAAACAAACAAACAAACATTTTACTAACTCCAAACTTCATAATGTTTGAATTTAATTTATGCATGTTATATTCAGCCTTGTCCAATATAAATTCCTGATTTAAATATTCAACTACCATACTAAATTGTTTTGTTTGTAAATATTTGACAATACAAGTCAATTGTCAATGTCATTTAAAACGGCCATTTCATGTTGACTTTTCTAGAAGGTATTATAGGTGTACAATGTCATACCACTCCTAAAGCGCCGTCTCCAAAAAGCCTCTCATTTTCTTTTAAGCACACAGCGACTGGAGTTTTCCGCCGGGACTCTCTGCACAAAACAGAAGCTAAAATGTCACAGCAGAGCAAAATGCTGTATGTAACTAATAACACTAAATTTAAAAGTCTAAAACACTCAAGATTGGTTCATTTTAGTTAGAAAAGTTGCATTATGTACATACTTGTTTAATACAATTTCCATTGGCACACCAGGTTTCACTATAGCGACTTTCATCCATTCACTGCCCAAGTCCACAGACATCACAGCGACTGATTCTGCAACACAAACACCACAGTCAGAGCTCAATTTTTATATACTACATAAATTAAACAAAACATGAATTAGGGTTTGTTAATTTATAAGAAAATAATGCACACTAGAGATAATGGTGTAGACACATAAGTTCAAGTTGGCTTTATTGTCATTTTAACAAGATGCAGTGCAGTATAGAGTGAAACGAAACAGTGTTCCTTCAGGACCAAGTTGCTACACCAAACAACATAAATGGACAACATAACACAGGACAGTGCACTTCTATAAAAAAATATTGAAAATAAAAGAAACTATCATTTTAAAAATAAAAAAATGAATGAGAGCGCAGTGCGGTTTGTGCAACATGAAGAACAACACAAAAAGTTACATCATAGATGTACATTATTTTCTATTGCTGTTTAAGATAAATAGATGTGTTGAAACAAAACTGGTATGCAATCAAAACATGTCCAGATTAACTTTATCTGAATATATCAGCAAACTCAAAGCATTCATCAACCAATCAGAATCAATAATTCAACAGCATTCACAATAGGAAACTCTATCAATGCTGTTATAATTTTACGAAGTGCTTACCTGTCTGAGAAGGCAGGAACGCTACTACTAGGCAAAAAATAGCCCATAATGACAGCTTTTCCCTCATTGTGACCTGCAAAAAAAGAAAGAATTGTGAACCATGAAACAGGAAGTTCCCCCAAATCATCATCATCATGTCCAAGATTGTCACTAAAATTCAGAGTATTGCATCACAATCCTGATTTGAAGAACCACATGAGTGCCATATATGGATGTGTAGGAGGAGAAGTCGGCCAGTGACAGGTGTGGATAGGTACACGCTGATATGATGTGATCCCACCCACAACTCAGAGACAAAGCCTGAGAGCACATGGATCTTGATACTCTAATGTAAAACAGAAGCCTCCAACAGTATATTTCTGAGATTTTCATAATCAGACACATCCATATTCAACCAATCACTTCTGTAGAGACATCCATCAAACCTAAAATGTGTGTCACATCAAGTAAAATGTGTTCAAGGGCCTCCAGGAACAACCCTGAGAATCACTTTCCTGCAGAATAGAGACACTTGGGGCCAAGTTGGATTAGCAATACAAGGAGACAACATATAGTTTACGTTTAAAAGTGAAATAATACTAGTTTTTAGTCACAATTCTCCATTTTTAATGCTGATGTAACAAATGCAAAGTGGAAACTTCTAGGTAAACAGCCTGCGTGACGTAAGGCTGCCTGATCCTGATGGAGCCGAGCATCACGTCAAACTGTCATTACACTACTTGATCATATGCAGTAAAAACACAAGACCTTATTGTATTGAAAGAGCCTCAAACACACACACACACAATGCTGCATGTAGATTATTACCCCATATAAGACATATCTATAAACATATGGAACCATCCAGATGAGCCTAAACATCTCCAACAAAGAAAGTGATGGCATGGCACTTACCTTCAGCAGATCAAGTTTTATATTGGTTCCTGTTGACTGCTAAATCCCTCTTGACACCCTGAATATCACTATTTAGAAGCGCTTACCCTGCCCTAAATATGGACCACAACTTTTGTGTGTTGATACTTAATATCTAACGCCTTACAGATAGCTAGAATGGGGCATTTAGCAGCTGTGCTCTGTGACCACACCACCTCGCTTGCTTGATTTTGCTCTTGCAATCACCGGCTTGTTCTAACACACATTGGGCCCGGAACGCGGCGTGCTCTCATTGGATCCACGCAACTCGCTGCTCGCCGAGAGAAGCGCTGATCGCTGTTCTCGTAAGGCCCGCCTCTTCAGCCTTGAATGGGAAACGCTGATTGGTCCACGTGCCAAGCAGCGCGCGCGAGTGGTCAATCGTGTAAGTAAGCATGAATCTGATTGGTCCACGTTAAAAGGGGAAACAAAACGACTGTGCGACATTTTGTAGTTTTATCAATGCAAGCGATGTTATTTATTTCCGCGAATTGATTCGTTCGCTTAACTCTCACAACAATTGATTTAAAAACAGAAAGTGTTGATTTTACTGATGGAAAATGCTCGAACAAATCTTTGAGATTATCTAACGCAATGTTGTTTTCCAGGACAAATCAAGAGAGCTTATATTGTACAATATTGTAAAAGGTTTCCTAATATACACATTTTTCTTGTCATGAGACACGTGTCTCATGTTAAGAAAAATGTGTTTATTAGGAAACATTTTCTTTCATATCATGTTACGTAAATCCTAAATGTAAAGAAGTGCACTTTAAAACTATGAATAATATTTATCCTGCAAACTAATTTCTATGGTTACTATTTAATATTGACGGCTCAAATGTATGCAAGTTTTGTAATTTAGGGTTAGGGTTAACAGGTGAATTGGGTAGGCTAAATTGTCTGTAATCAATGAGTGTGTATAGATGTTTCCCAGAGATGGGTTGTAGCTGGAAAAGCATCTGCTGCGTAAAACATATGCTGGATAAATTGGCGGTTCATTCCGCTGTGGCGACCCCTGAATAATAAATGGACTAAGCCGAAAAGAAAATGAATGAATAAAAATAAATAAATAAATAAATAAATAAATAAATAAATAAATAAATAAATAAAATAATAATAATAATAATAATAATAATAATAATAATAGTAATAAAGATTTGTTCGCTCGAAAGCTTAGATGTAAAACGGGGATTCAGTGGTTGCTTTTGGTTGCATTATAGCCTACCAGGGAACTTTTGATTTTCAGATGCCACATACTCCTATATATGATTATCTTCATGCAAGGGACCCCAATTCTTTTTTAGGCTGTGATTAATTTATGTTATAAATATTGATTAATATCATATAATTTATTTACTTTTTTATTTTCAATGAATTGTTTTATGAGTATTTTAATCTGATTCGTATTTAATTTATATTCATGTTGATGTGTGTTTAATACTTTTTGTATTTATTTTTTTTAACTATTTCACATATTTTAGTTTTCATATTTATTTAGCATTTATTTAAATTTGCTCCAGCTCTGCTTCGTCGTATTCATATTTTTCTAGTAATTTCTTATCTTTTTATGTGGTTAAATATATGCTTGTAACGTTTCTGCTGTTACTATAATTAACACCTTCACCCATGATGATAAGAAATAAAGTTCTCGGTTCAACAGTTCAGTGATGAACCGAATTTGTTCATGAACCGCCAGGGGACTCAAAGGAACGATTTGTTCGTTTAGATTTTTATTACGTTTTCGCGTCATATTAATAACTTTTAAAAGCACCCTTTTCAGTCAACTAAAGTGTTCTTAATTTTTTTTTTCTTATTTTTATAGCGTCAAAAACTGAAAAATATCATCCTGCCTCCAGTCACATGACCGTAATGCGAGTCACATGATTTTGCTAAACAAGAACTGCTCAGAAAATGGCAGCGTTTTTACAGTGGAGACGATTTGTGTTTTTCGATAAAGAAACTGTGAAGGATCCGAGCGAAAATGGGAAAAACTTCCAGCTACCGATGGGCATATCGGCCTGTGATTCAGGCCGAGGACACATTGTGCTCGGAGATATCCTTAAAATGCTTGTGGCTAGTTAGCAATGATGATACTGTCAAACAGTAATACCCAGTGTAATTCATAACTATAGTCGTACAATCTGCATGTTTTAAAAGGCCGCTGCAAACCTGCTTTATGAAATGTAAACTACATTTGACTAAATGTCTGTGTTTCCTTTATTTATTCATTTTACCATATTCTGTCATCCATAGATGGAGGTAAAGTTGGTGTTATATTCGCACATTCGTTCAGTGATAACGTCCCTACATTATTTACCGCGCTATTGTGAATATTCAGTCTGAAGTCGCATGCAAACATGACTTCAAAACAACATTAGCACTATTTAAATGACTGAACAGTGTTGTACTTTAATAGTCATTGGCTGCAGATATGATTTTCCTATTAAGAATTTGCAAATACTTTTCTGAAATTATATTATTAAGGAGAAAATCTGAATGTGCGAATATACAACCAAATCTATCTCAATCATCCCTAGCTGATCATATAGAGATTCAGTTTTGATATTCGTGCATGTGTTCTTTAACTCTGTGATGCACATATGGATGGTCAGATCTGGTTTTTGACCCGCTCTCTCCAGCTATCAAGCTTCCAGGCATATAAGCTGCGGGTGACGCACCTGTACCAGCTCAAACAACACAACATCCTGGTGTCAGTGGGGCAGGATGAACCTGGCATCAATCCTCTGGTAGGGTTCACGACTGCTGTCTGATAAACATGGCTCTTTGTCTGTGTGTGCACTTTAGAAATGTATTCAATAGTTTATGCGTTTGTCCATCAGGTGAAGGTGTGGAATCTTGATAAGAGGGACAGTGGCAGTCCTCTGTGTACCCGAATATTCCCTGCCATTCCTGGAAACAAACCCACTGAAGTGTCTTGTCTCAGCGTACATGAAAACCTTAATTTCATGGCTATAGGTAGGAGTTTGTTAAATTCACAAATCAGGAATATTAAAGATAACTAGACATAAACCATGAAAACTGCAAACACTGAAAAAGAAAATCTGTGAACTTTTAAAAACGTAACATTAGAAATGTTAACTGATTTGCTGATATAGATAGGTATCAATATCGCAATGTGTATATCTGCAATAGTCACATTAATAAATTATTTATTAAACCAGAAAGCACTGTTTAGTTGTTTATTTCAGCTTGTAATTCATTATAATTTATGCAGATGCACTGCATAGAACTAGGACGTGATCATCTCAGTCGGTCTAAATTAAATCTTTCCAAATAGATCTATTCAAGTCATCTGGTGGTGACATTAATATCGCAACACATATTGCAGCAAAACAAAATATTATAATGCAAGACTTTTCCAATATCATACATGTGGTGTAGTTTAAAAAAAATATGGGTTTGACATTGCTAATAATTTAAGTGGATGTTACCTTAATATCAATTCTAATTCAGTATCTGTGTTGAATGCTCAGGTTTTACAGATGGCAGTGTTGTGCTGACGAAGGGTGACATCACCAGAGATCGACACAGCAAAACGCTCAGCCTCCATGAGGGCAACTGTCCAATCACAGGCCTGGCTTTCAGACAGGCTGGGAAAATCACACACCTGTTTGTTGCCACCTTAGAGAAAGTGCAGGTATGTTGCACCTTTCAGTTTCTGTCATGCCAATCAGTGAATCTGAATAAAACCGATGTCTCAGGTCTACACACACTCACACACACCTTACTAAAAATCTGCACTAAACTGAAAATATCTTGAAATATATTTACAAATAATTTTACACGATTTAACTCATGTCTTTTATTGTAAAAATGTTCTGTAATGCTTTGCTCTCCTTTATACTAAGTGGCTGTTGAATGCTTGAATCTTATTGGCTGATGAACATTCTAAAGTTTGCACTTATGTTCAGATCAACGCACAGCTAAAGTAGTTCCAGGCTGGTCTTTACCATATTGCAGTGCCATAGCACTATGCAGAGTAATTTCAGTTAATTCACGGAGAACAAAAGTCAAACTAAAACTACAAAACTAAACGAAATATGATAAATGTATCACACATGCAGTAGCTGTTTGAGTGCTGTTTTAACAGAGCTGTTTAAAGTTGAATAATTGACTGAAGTCCATTGAATTCCTCTGACAATACCTCTACCTCTATTTACATATTTTAACATATTTATGTTTGTGTGTATTTTATGCTAAACATGTTGAGACTTTTATGTTTCTTTTATAATGATAACAAATAAATTATTTCTATAAAAGAATGCCAGTCTAAACCAGTATTGTTGTTATGTCGACAGTGTTACACGTTGTCAGTGAAAGAGTATCCTCGTGTAGAATTGGACACACACGGCTGTGCTCTCCGCTGTTCTGCGCTCACTGACCCGTCACAGGACTCGCAGTTTATAGTGGCTGGAGATGATTGTGTGTATCTGTACCAGCCTGATGAGAGAGGACCCTGCTTCGCTTTTGATGGGCATAAGCTTTTGACACACTGGCACAGAGGATACCTGCTGCTGCTCACACACAGTAACAAGTCGCCCAGCAAGTAAGATGTATTCCATGCATTATATGCCCCTTTCACATATACACACTTTCGTGGAAAATTACCAACAATTTACTGGAAAGGGATCACATGTAAAAGGGTCCTTTAAAGGGCCATGACACCCCCCACTTTCGGTTAAAGTCTACTTCAGAATTTTTTCAAAAGATGCATGATTAATGGGCGTGGAGCTCCGCGAGCATTGGTCAGGAGTGGGCGTGGCCAGCAGGGGAGAAGGGGAGCGAACAACTGTTGTCAGCTCACAAAATGAGAGACAAACCATGAGGAGATGCATGAGTTTATAGTTCACAAAGTTAAAATGCAAAGAAATAAACAGTAATTTAATGCCCAGCTACATTTGTTATTCGTAATTTCATATACACATAACCACAATTTATATCATTATAAAGATAAGTGTGTTTATGTAAACACTATAAATGAGGATTCTCCCTCGATCCCCGGGTCTAAATTATAGATCTGAATGCAGACTCAGTGCAGCTGGTCTCCTGACCTACCTATTTTAACCATTAGCCCTGCTGGTAATATAGAGGATTTTGGCAAACACAGCAGCACGGCGATGTGTCTAAATGTGAACGAACTCCTGATAAAAGTCAACGTCCGCCATTCTTCAATTCTTGTACTGCTCTCCCGACAAAAATGCTTGCAGCACACACACAGCTTTGCTGTATGGTCGGCCCTGACAAGATCGCGGGGAAAAAACATGCAACAAACTCCATGGATCATGGAAACAAACGCATACGAGTCTTCATGAACGGCTACAGCGTGCCGTGGGTCCGTGTCTCTAAGCTTGCTGTCTAAAAAGAGGTTAATTGCTGTTTAATCTTTAATGATTGCTTTAATGTTTGTTTATTTTTTCAGAGTTTACTTGCAAATATGTGGTAACCAGAACCTTATACAGTGAATGAAAATGAAAACGATAACACTATATATTAGAATAATAATTATAATTAAAAAATGTGAATAAAAACACAAAATACAATCTATATTATAATAGACTTAATCTATAAAAATGTATTTAAATATAAATGCTACATTTTTGTCATAATTTTAATAATTTGATGATTTTATATAGTTAATACAGTTGTGTACTTACCGCTTTTATAACGTGTTAACATGCACTACTCATTCAAATCTTTTTGCTTAATCTGCACAGATCTGATTATGGCAGCAGACAGACGTCCCCTACAGAAAAGCACATCCTGACCATTTACGATTTAGACAACAAGTTCATCGCTTACAGTGCGGTGTTTGATGATGTCATTGACGTTCTGGCTGAATGGGGGTCTTTCTACGTCCTAACAAGTGACAGGACGGTGTATATGCTGCAGGAGAAAGACACACAGACCAAGCTGGAGGTTAGTGAGGTGTTGGCATTCATTACAAAAACACTATACAGTACAGTTTAAAGTACTTTTATTCCTGTGATGCCAGAGCTAAAATTTTGGAGAGGGGTCTGGATGCAGACCTGGTGTTGAGCTGCATGCAATGCTTTATAATCCGCACACCTAACTCTACCCCTCACAGTGATGTCACTAGATCCACTGAGTGTATTGTGTCTGACATTGCATCTATGAAATATGCAGTCTCAGCTTGCTAATCCATGTCTGCATCCAGATGCTATTGAAAGTTTTAGCAGCCACCACTTTCAGAAACCATTCTAATTTGGCCAAAAACATTTATTAATAATATCTTTTAAAACAGCTTATTATTATTATTATTATTATTATTGTTATTATTATTATCATTATTATTATTAATTTCTTGTCGGCTTAGTCCCTTTATTAATCTGGGGTCACCACCAACTGGCAACTTATCCAGCAAGTTTTTACGCAGCGGATGCCCTTCAAGCACTACCTACTGCACCACTGCTTTGCCCCATCATCATTATTATTATTATTATTTACATTAATATATACATTATTATTATTATTATAAACATTACTATAATTATTATTATATACATTATTATGATTATTAATATTATGTACATTATTATTATTATTATTATTTTTTCATTGACATTTTATATATGATTATTATATTTGTGGATTCTTTTTTTCTTTATTTATTTTACGTAACAGTGTTAGGCTATAATTATTTTTCCTAAATAAATAAATGTTAATTGTTTCCAAACCTTTGGATTTTTTTTCCTAAAATATATTTTGCACAGTTTAATTAATTAAATGTAAAATATGAAAGTGCAACTGGATTACAACACTAGATGGCACTGATATGTAAATGTGTTTAAACAATATTATTTTACACATCAACTGTGAAATATATATATATATATATATATATATATATATATATATATATATATATATATATATATATATATATATATATATATATATAAATTTTTATTATTTAACTGGCAGCCCTTAAATCTAAATAAAAACAAAATATACAATAAAATCTAACAAAGTTTTAAATATAAATAATTAAAATATACATTTATGTATAAAATATAAAATTTAATTAAAAATAACTACAAAATGAAGATTCAGAAATAAAATAATTATTACTTAATACTTTATGATAATATATATATTTTTGTATAATATAATCATCCTTAACTTATGTGTTAAATAATGTATAAATGTGTTATTTAGATGCTGTTTAAGAAGAATCTGTTTGTGATGGCCATTAACTTGGCCAAAAGTCAACACCTGGACAATGATGGTCTGTCTGAGATATTCAGGCAATATGGAGACCATCTCTACGTCAAAGGAGATCATGATGGAGCTATTCAACAATATATCCGGTAACTGTCCAGTTCAGATATCTGCTCACTTCTACTGCATTTCACTGAAATCCATAAATATAAAAAAATATGGGGTTTAAATTAAGCATCAAATGAACCTTCTGTGTTTTTTTAGCACCATTGGGAAGCTCGAACCATCCTATGTTATCCGCAAGTTTTTGGATGCACAGAGAATACACAACCTAACCGCATACCTGCAGGCCCTTCACAGGCAGTCACTGGCCAACGCTGATCACACTACACTACTGCTCAACTGCTACACCAAACTGAAGGACAGCTCCAAGCTGGAGGAGTTCATAAAGGTCTGCTGAGAATAAACATAAACCATCACATTTTAAACAATAAAACCAGAACATGTATGGTTTACAGTGTGTTTTGGAGCATATTTCATTAGGATTTAATGATTTTTAACATAACACGAATAGAAGGCAAAAAAAGAATTACAGGTACAAACCCAAAGTTTTCACTAAAACCAGTACAATATCTAAGATGGGACCCTGTACTACAAAACCAATCATACATTTTCTTTTTAATTAATGTTTTTTTTTTTAAATTGAGATTTATATGTTATCTCAAAGCTGAATAAATAAGTTTTCCATTGATATATGTTTTTTTTTCTAGGATCGGACATTATTTGGATTGAAAACATTTGAAAATCTGTTTAAAATAAAATCTAGAGTTCAAACAATCAAAATACAGAGAAAATAGCCTTAAACATGTCCATAAGCTCTCTGCAATGCATATTACTAATCAAAAATTGAGTTTTGTAGTTACACTAGGAAATTTAGAAAATATATTCATGGAAGATGAGCTTTATATTAAAAAAAAAAGATCATTATGACCCTTACAATAGCCAAAAATACACCCGTGCAACATTTGGTTTTGTGGTCTAGGGCTAGTTTCCCAACCCTGTTCCTGAATGCACATTAACAGTACAAATTTACAACCTCTTCCGAATCAAACACACCTAAATCAAACTCATCAGAACATTAGAAGAGACTCAAAAACCTGAAATGACTGGGTCTAATAAGGGAGACATCCAAAATATGTACTGTTGGTGTGCCTCCAAGAACAAGGTTGGGAAACACTTGTCTAGAGTAACATAAATCTATTAAAACCTTCACAAGCATTATGATGGTTGTTTATGTTTTTCAAAACTCTCTCTCTTAAATGTGCATTTAGGCTTTTTGAATGACACCCTCCCCACCAACAATGCTTATACTCTGTATCCCTTGTTTTAAAAAGAGCAATGAGAGCGAGGTGCATTTTGATGTTGAAATTGCCATCAAAGTGTTACGCCAGGCTGGTTATCACAGTCACGCCGTGTTTCTGGCAGAGAGACACATGCACCATGAATGGTATCTGAAGATCCAGCTAGAGGATTTGAAGGTGAATAGCATTTTTTGTGCAGTTTTGTTGCATAACAAATACTTTTCAATGAGTCTGTAAGCCAATACCTGTTCATTCTGTCCACTCCCAATCAGAATTATCAAGAGGCTTTGCGCTACATCGGTAGGTTGCCATTTGATCAGGCTGAAAGTAACATGAAGCGTTATGGTAAAACTCTTATGCACCATGTTCCCGAGAGCTCCACCATCCTCTTAAAGCGCCTCTGCACCGACTATCACCCCAGCAAAGACTCCACCGACCGGGACAGTCTGGACAGGCCTGTGGAAAACAAGGTTATTTATTTATATTTGCATTAAAGCTTTCAAATAAACTGATATTTTCGTATCGGGTAAAAGGGGTAGTTCACTCAATATTTCAAAAGTGAAAATTATCTTATCATTTATTCTTGGTTTTAAATTTTTAAAAAAGAAGATATTTTGAAGAATGCTGGTTGCTGGACCCCATTGACTTCCATTGTATTATTTTTTCCTACAATGGAAGACGATAAGTGCCAGCAACCAGCATATTTCGAAATATCTTCTTTTGTGTAAATCAGAAACTGGTGAAGGATGAGTAATTGATGACAATATTAATTTGTGTGTGAACCATCGCTTTATAATGCAACATTTACTTCATTAAAATTTTTTACAGGCCAATCCAGAGGAGTTCATCCCAGTGTTTGCCAATAACCCGCGAGAGCTGCGATTGTTTCTGGAGCACATGATCGAGGTGGACCCGTTCTCTCCTGAAGGAGTTTATGACACTCTGCTAGAGCTCAGACTGCAGGACTGGGCACATGAGCAGGACCCAGGGGTAAAAGTTTATATGTTATATACATCTGTCATGCTTTGTTATTGTCATTGTTTGCTATTATAGACTGCAAATGCAACTCTGCAGATTTCAATTTTTTTTTTGTGGTAAACCTTTTAATTGTGCTTTTTTAAACTATATACAATCACAAAAGCCTTAAAACAAAACAAAAAAAAAACACAGATACATGTAGATAAAGATAAATTTAACCACATTTGTGACCTTTCTTTAAGACCTGTTTAATTTGTGTTTTAAAACTGCAGGATTTTAGAAATTTCTTCGTGTTTACGTTGGGAATTAACTGGTCTTTATGCCGAGTATAATTTAAGTAATTTTACCACATTTTAATAAGTCTGTTCTTTAATTTATTCAGAGCAAAGAAGAGTAAAGCACAAAATATTGGTAAAATATCAACATTTTGATGACTTTAAGAGAATTTCTACAAATCTCAAAACAAAAATCTACTTTCACACAATAATTAGGATGCTTAACATTAGTTCAAATGACTGATTATGGTTGTTTTTCTATTTTAGTTTCATTTTATGGAATCTAAATAATTATTAAGCAATAGTCATAAATCAGTGGATCCTTAAAGTATTGCAGTTTTGATCGATCTATCAGTTGTAAACGTTATAGCACATTTATTTGATTGATTGTATGTGTGCTTAAATTTAGTTTTCGCCATAATAGATATATAATTATAAAGTCAGTAAAGATATATAAAGATATATGAAGTCAGTTAAATGACTATAAAGAATGACAGAACTTGGTCACACTTTACAAAAAGGCTTCATTACTTAATGTATTTACTAACATGAACTAATTACGATCAATACTTGTACAGTACAGCATTTATTAATCATAAAACATCATTGAAATCCAAATTCATGCTTATTAACATTGGCTAAGACACTATGAGTTAACACAAACTAAAAATGAACAACAATTAGTATTTTCATTAACTAATGTTAAATAACAATAATAAATACTCTAATAAATAGTCGTTCATGTTATTAAACATTAACTTGTACAACCAGATTGTAAAATGTTAAGATGCACCCAGAATAAGTGAATCTCTAAAATAAAAAAGGCAGTTTGGATTGATTGCTGACTAGCTTGCTTTAAAAGCCTACAGTGAACCCTTCTGTCTCTCTGTCTGTGTCTTACAGAAGAAAAAAGTCCTGCAGGAGGCAGCACTCTCCCTTCTGAGGAGCGACAACACTGTGTTTGACAAGGCCCTCGTGCTCTGCCAGATGCACAACTTTAAAGAAGGAGTGCTGTATTTGTATGAAAAGGGCAAACTGTGAGCGAGCTTTCTCATTCTCACACAAAGTGTTTTGAATGTACCCGGCATGACTCCTGAAACATCACAATGTTATTTATGAAAATTATTACATTTTGAAAACAAAAACTAGTTTCCAATAGCAAGCAGCATGAGCTAACATAACTAAAAGTAACACACATTTAGTCAAGTTACAAACAGCTGCACACACACTAATGATACAAAATACTTACCGCAGGTATCAGCAGATCATGCATTACCACATGCAGAATGAGGAGTATGGGAAAGTGGTGGAGGCCTGTAAGCGCTATGGGGACAGCGAAGTGTGCTTGTGGGAGCAGGCACTGGGCTATTTCGCACGCAAAGAAGAAAACTGCAAGTCCTACATTAGTGAAGTCTTGAAGCACATCGACGACAATAACCTGATGCCTCCGCTTCTGGGTGAGTGAGAAGTCAGACAAAGGCCAAACAAGTTAGGTGACATGGCCGGTGTTTTCACACATCTAAACTTAAGAGTTACTTTTAACGCCTTTTGTTTAGTGGTCATGTTGATGAATTTTCCAACCTCTGAATGAACTTGGGCTTCTGCCCGTATCAGATTTTCTGTTGCTGACATTTTATCACAGTATACAGTGTTATTAAGCTGCAAAAAAGATTACTTTAACAGGTATAACAAGGTAAGAGTAACAAAGTAAGAGTAAACAAATGTTTTCAACACATTAAATTGTTAAAAAGATGACAAAATACAGAACAATAATCAATATATGGACTTATCGCACAACACATGGACATAACCTCCATCATTTTTGGTAATTCAATATACACTCACTGGCCACTTTATTAGGTACACCTATCCAACTGCTCTTTAACACAAATTTCTAATCAGCCAGTAACATGGCGGCAACTAATGGTCAAGACTATCTGCTGCAGCTCAAACGAAAGGTGATTTAAGTAACTTTGAACATGGCATGGTTGTTGGTGCCAGATGGGAGTATTTCAGAAAGTGCTGATCTACTGGGATTTTCATGCAATAACCATCTCTAGTGTAATGATCCGAAAAAGAGAAAAGTGAGCTGCAGTTCTGTGTGCTCAAGTGCCTTGTTGATGCCTGAGGTCAGATGAGAATGGCCAGACTGGTTTGAGCTGATAGAAAGGCAACAGTAATTCAAATAAACACTTGTTACAACTGAGGTATGCAGAAGAGCATCTCTGAACATACAACATGTCAAACCTTGAGGCGGATGGACCACAGCAGCAGAGGACTACATTGGGTGCCACTCCTGTCAGCTAAGAACAGGAAACTGAGGCTCCAATTTGCACATGCTCACAAAAATTAGACAATAGAAGATTGGAAAAGCGTTGCCTGGTCTAATGAGTCTCGATTTCTACTCCGATATTCAGATGGTAGAGTCAGAATTTAGTGTCAACAACCTGAAAGCATGGATCCATCCTGCTTTGTATCAACATATCTGGCTGCTGGTGGTGTTGTAATGGTGTGGGGAAAATTTTCTTTGCACAAGAAACCTGAGTATTGTTGCTGACCATGTCCATCCCTTTATGACCACAGTGTACCTATATTCTGATGGCTACTTCTAGCAGGATAATGCACCATGTCATAAAGCGCGAATCATCTCAGACTGGTTTCTTGAACAAGACAATGAGTTCACTCTACTCAAATGGCGTCCACAGTCACCAAATCTAAATTCAATAGAGCACCTTTGGGATGTGGTGGAACAGGAGATTGGCATCATGGATGTGAGGCCAACAAATCAGCAGCAACTGCATGATGCTATCATGTCAATATGGAGCAAAATCTCTGAGGAATATTCCCAGTTCCTTGTTGAATCTATGCTATGAAGGATTAAGGCAGTTCTCAAGGCAAAAGGGGGTCCAACCCGATACTAGTGAAGTGTACCTAATAAAGTGGCCAGTGGGGGTATATCGCCCAAACATTAAAACTAATTCTAGTAACATATGAGCTGATTGTGCAACATCTCTATCTTTATTGGTGGTGTCAGTATGGTTAAAAAAAAACACTACAGTATTTAGTACTCTAAATTACTTTAGTATATTTTCATGAGGGTGCCTGACAACTGAAAATAATCTGGAACCATATATTGAAGCCTCTGTTACTTTTTACATTTTTGTTAACATGTATTATTATTTTTATTTAAGATATGCGTTTTTACATTCTGATTCTAACGCGTAACTATTAAATTGTTAAAATGACTATAATTAGATGAAATATCCTTAAGAATAAAATATGATGTGTTCTTTGGAAGAATGTTCTTGCATTGTGGTGATATTATGTTGTCATTCTGGCATTATATAATTATTGGCATAAAATGATCTTAAAATGACAATAATATTGTTTATCGTAATATATTTTGGTGATTTATACCACACAACAAAAAATAGATATTGTGACAGGCCTAGTCTCATTAGTAAACATCAAATAATGCATTAAAAGTAGCTATAAGAACTGAATTGTATCATTATTAAATCCATTTAATAAACAATTATTATTAATGCATTAATAGGCATTAAGCAATTAATATCACCTAAGATTAATAAATGCTGTTGTAGTTTTAATCACTTTACCTTTAGTGAACTTAACTGATGTTAACAAATGGTGCCTTACTGTACAAAGTAGAGATGTGCGGATTAGCTGAAATGACACCCGATTCCGCGGCTTCATACTAATCATCCACCCACCACCCGCCCACACATATTTTTTATCTAATATATATATACGCACCCAACCCGCACCCAATCGTCACTTAATAATTTAATTCTTTGTTTTAGGAATGATGATAAGTCACCGTAGATATTAACAGCAGATTCAGTGATCTTTAATCAGCGCATTTCTGATAGTAAAATAATATGTTAAATAATAATCTTAAACGTTTTTAAATTAACATTTATAAAATCAAAAGTTTGTCTTTTAACAACATTTTCTTAATTTTCAAGTAGATTCAGAAAGTAAAATAAAGACATTTTAGCTTTTACAGATAAAGGAACAAGATAACAAAAAGGGTGCCACTTCAGCCTAAACGGCAGCTATCTTATATTTACTTGGCCCTTTTTTCGCAATGTGCAAAAACAGAATAGCATCTACAGTGCCTAGATTCGAGCAATTCGGCCTTGCCTCCAAAACGCAGCCAGCTGCACTGAATGAGTGTTCGCACTCACCGCTTGTTGTAGGATTGAACAAGATTGTCCTCGCAAGGCGCTGCAGTCATGGAATTAGGCGATCTTGTTTCTCCCTGAACGATAGCAGATTTTCCTGCTAACTGAAACTTTGAACTGTAGGCTACTCATGCACTTCATCCATTATTTTAATCGTCACATCTTCCCATTCTGCAAAACCCACTCTCTGCTTTTTTGTTGGTCCACTGCCATGTCCCGCTACTTCCACCCGCAACCCACCCACAATTATTCATAATGTATTTTTATTTATTACCCGGCCCGCCCGACCCGAGGATTATGAGCAGCGCTCACGGATATAACCGCCATCCGTGCATCACTAGTACAGAGTTAACAAACAAAAGGCCTATAAGTAGTCGTAGGCCAGATTAAAACGTAAAATGTTAATGTTTAAAAATAAATCGCCTATTACGTCTTTAAGCAACTACTACTAATATTAATAAAAATACATTTTATAAATGAGGTGCTTTTCTCATAAACCAAAGTGCTAAATACAGTAATACAACAGCACAAATTCACAAGAGCTAACAGTGTGAATATTCTTCAAACGCACTCTAAGGGCTCTATTTTGACGGTCCATGCGCAGAGCACAAAACGCAGGGCGCAAATGCTTTCAGGGCGTGTCAGAACGTGTTTTTGCTAATTTAAGGACGGGAAAACCTGCTTTGCACCAAGGCGCATGGTCTAAAAGGGTTGAGTTTATTTTCTTAATGAGTTATAAGTATGAGTTATGAGTAATAACATTATACAAAAGCAAATTGTTATGAATGAACTAAAAAAGCCTCCTGAGATGAAGAAGACATAAAAGCAGTGATTTTTCATACTTATGTAGGCTAGAAAATAATATGTTTTGTAATATTTTAATCCTTTATATTTATATTCTATATCTATTCTTATTATATCCTATATATATCCTTAATATTTAATTTTTTTCATATGTAAAGATATTTGCCTATTGCTCTCTTGTGTTTATTAAGCAGTGCGTAAGCGAGGCGCAACTTTGCGCCGGAGTTTAGACCGGGTTTGTTTTGGTCTAATGAAAAATCTATTTTATTTACTCAAAATAGCAACGTGCCAGCGGTCCGCCTCTGAACGCCTTCCTTTTTAGACCAGAACGCCTATGGGCGCACATCTGAGCGCTAATGCATTTGCTATTTAAACAGCGTAGAGCAACGCCTCAAAACGACTCTTGCACCAAGCTGAAATTACCAAAAGACTATTGCGCCGCACCTTGCGCCACACTGCGCCGGGGGTGTATGATAGGGCCCAATAAGTTTAAATAATAAAAAATATATTCACTGTATTTTAAAGTGCCCACAAAATCAATATTGTGCATGTTCATTTTCAAGATATATATTGAATTATTGAATACCGGCAGATGAACTTTACATTACATAATTGTGTTTTCCATATTTGCTTCAGCACAATTTAGACCTTATTCGATTGTGTGTCTTGCAGTGGTGCAGACTTTGGCCCATAATTCCACAGCATCTTTATCAGTCATCAAAGACTACCTGATTAATAAACTGGAGAGGGAGACCCAGCAGATTGAGGAAGACGAAAGGAAGATTCGCCAGTATAGAGAAGAGACGGCTCATTTACGGTCTGAGATACAAGAACTTAAAACTTGGTAAGCAAATGGAGGACGCAACCAACCAATCAGAATCAAGACTGGGAGTGCACTGTGAATGTATAGTTAAAATGTGCATTGTTCTTCTAGTGCAAAGATCTTTCAGAAGACCAAGTGCAGCATGTGCAACAGCCCGCTCGAGCTGCCGTCTGTGCACTTCCTGTGTGGCCACTCTTTCCATCAACACTGCTTAGAGAGCTTCGCTGAGAGTGAGGCAGAGTGTCCCACCTGCACCCCTGAGAACAGGAAGGTCATGGACATGTTGCGTGCGCAGGATCAGAAACGAGATCTGCATGACCATTTTCACAGACAGGTGGCTATTTTGGGGCTATTTTAAGAGGTTTTGGGCCAGATTTACAAGCAAGGGGAAATCAGATAGATATCACTATCCTGTTAAGAGTGCGAAGCTCTGTGGGTGCTTCTAATGACAATAAACTAATTAAAGGGATAGTTCAACCAAAACTGAAAATGAAAGGTGCAGTGGGTGAGTGTCTTTAGAATTATATAGTTGAACAACAAAACCTCAGCAAATAGCGCTTTTCTGCCTAGCCTGCTTTACTGAGCTGAAGTTGGTTTTATATTTACATTGTTTCATTTGTGAACAATGTCAACCTGTGACGCTCTCCCTATACTGTTTAACATGCTACTCTAAATATTCGCTCTAAAAAATAGCATGTAAGTATGGCTTAGTAATAAGTGTATTCCTGCACGCCGCCGGTCAACCACTAAGCATACAGTAGTCGCTTTAGGACAGCACGTGAGAGAGTGAGAGCAATGGTCCTTGCGTGCATGAAATATTGTATTATGAAGTTTTGCTTGCTACACAACTGAAAAAATGCTGGATATAATACAGTTTTTCATTCAGAGTTTCAGTATTATAAAGTACTATGAAGTTTCTGACTGGTGAATGAAATGATCTAGTGCAGGGATGGGCAAACTTGATCCTCGAGGGCCGGTGTCCCTGCAGAGTTTTGTTCCAACACTAGTCAAACACACCTGAACATGCTAATCAGTGTCTTTAAGATCACAAGAAATCTATAAGCAGGTGTGTTTGATTAGGGTTGGAGCTAAACTTTGCAGGACACCGGCCCTCCTTGCCCACCCCTGATCTAGTGGGTCTCTTTCATCTTTCAAATGCGCGTTTGTGTTTCAGGAGGTGGGGCTTTGGACGGCAGGGAAGGCATTGTATTTGAAAGCTATTATGCTAACCGGTTAGCATTTAGGCAGATCACCTACTGCAACTTTAAGCTGTTATCTTCTCACTATTTACATATTTAAAATCTATTTGAGTTTATTTCTCCTGTTAACACAAAAGAAGATATCAGTGATCGACACAACGGAATGAACCACCAAATATTCTATCCTGTTTTATGCCCTTCCAGCCGGCACCCATTTACTTTACATTTGCCATAGTAAACATTTTTTTCCTGCTATGGAAATCGAAAGTAAATCATTTAATAGTAAATGAATGAAGGTTGGGCGAAGCAAGGGCACAGTAGGTAATGCTGTCACCTCAGAGCAAGAAGGTCGCTGGTTCTAGCCTCAGCTGGGTCAGTTGGCATTTCTGTGTGGAGTCTGCATGTTCTCCCTGCGTTCGAATGGGTTTCCTCCGGGTGCTCCGGTTTCCCCCACAAGCCCAAAGACATGCAGTATAGGTAAATTGGGTAAGCTAAAATTGTCCATAGTGTATGAGTGCGAATAAGAGTGTATGGGTGTTTCCCAGCGATGGGTTGCAGCTCGAAGGGCATCCGTTGTGTAAAACATATGCTGGTTAAGTTGGCGGTGTATTCCGCTGTGGCAACCCCAGATTAATAAAGGGACTAAGCCGAAAAAAAATGAATGAATAAAGGCTTAAAACCACATGAGGGACAATAAATGAAATCCTTTTCATTTTTGGGTGAACTAACATTTATAACAGCAACAAGGTACCTACATAAATGGGAAAGTTTTCCTTTGCTTTTTTAAATGATAGCAGTTCACAAGAATCAACAAAATTAAAAACTAAAATAACTTACTTGGCAATATACTCGCTTGGGCCAATGCTAACAACAGGTCAGAAGAAGCCAATAGCCTCTGAATTGAAGCAGTGGGGTTACATGAATTATACACAGAGAGAGGAAAATGGTATAGTTTAAAAAATTGTACTCTGAGAGTTTTCGAAAGATAGAATTTTGTTATGTAAATGAATAACCAAAATGGATAAACTTTTATCAGAACACAAACACATTACAATTAACAGAGATGCAGTAGTTTAGTTTCTTAGTAAACAATAAAATCTACCAAATATTGATAATGAGTGGGTTACACTGGTGCAAAATGGGTAAAACATACTTTTTTGGCATTGAATAATGGTACAAATATTAATAAATTAACTACTGCTTTCACATGTCATTATTATTATTATTATTACTATTTTTATTATTATATGTTTTAAATATTTTCCTCATATATTGTATTTACAACATTTTAAAGACACAATTATCATCCGTTATATAAAATTTTTGATTATTTTTCAAATATTTAACAAGTGTTTTTTTTACTGTTTCATTTTAACACATTTATAAACATAATAGTTTTAATAACTATTTTCTGATAAGTAATTTATTTAGTCTTTGACATGTTGACAATACATACTATTTTAGAAGTAATATTGAAAGGAACTAGTATTCAGCTTAAAAGTGCAATGAAAAGGCTTAACTAGTTTATTGGACAAATAAGTCATTGAACAACAGCCGTTTGCTCTGTAGCCAATAGAAAAAAAAAATATTTTCAATATTTAAAAAAAAAACTTGCAAAATATTTTCTCCAAAAGAAAAACAAAATAAGAAGAAATACTATGAAAATTTCCTTGCTCTCTTAAATATCACTTGGGAGAATATTGGAAAAATAATTATAATTTTACAGTAGGGCTAATAATTTTGTCCACATTACTGTCCACATGTTTTGATTACTGTTTCCTTGCATGCAAATCAAAAAAGGTTTTCCACTGGCGAATGCTGTAATTAAATCTCGCTCTTTAAATTTGATTGCCAATGTTATCTTAAATATAACTGCATGCCTTTTTTCCTCTTCTCTCCTAGTTGAGATGCTCTAACGACGGCTTCTCAGTCATCGCTGACTACTTTGGCCGTGGAGTGTTCAACAAACTCACTCTGATAACGGATCCTCCCGGAGGAAAGGGTGGAGCTGGGAATCTGGAGGCTGAATTCAACAGAGATCTGCTCATTAACACCAAGAGAAACGTTTGAAGGGCTGGGCTGGACTGGAGTTCACTTTAAAAGAAGAGCAGATCTAGGGTCGGACACGTGACCTTGCGCTACTTTAACGGTCTTATAACAAAATCCAAATTTACCTTTGCAGTTCCTCTTCTTGGTGTTGATTTATTTATAGGCTGTATAGTGGAAAGAGAGATGAAAGCTCTTGCAAAATCTCTCCATCTGTGTCGTCTGCAAGATCAAATCAGCAGAAAGAGGAAAGTATCAAAACCGCTGTGGGTGATGATGAGAAACGCAAGAACTTGCACTTCAGGACTGTGTGACATTTTCAAGCTTTTGCTGGTGCACTCTAGAGATGGACTTGCACATTATTTTGCATCCTTTAATGATTCATGTATAATGTATAATTAGTGTAACAACCACTTATTACTGTAGCTAAAGCAACTAATCTAAATTAATCAGGCAAAAGCTTGTAAAAGTGTTGTTAATAAATGTATGAAATTATCACTGACTCTGTTGTACTGCTAAATCTCAGATGTTTGTTGAAATCTTTTGTCATGAACTAATAAAAATGTAATACCTACATTAGGCATGCCAAAACTAGGGCAAAGTTTGCCTATGGTAACCTTTGATTTGGCCCGCCATCGGGGGATGATGGGGACAATTAAGAGATAGTACTTTCAAATTTAATGTAACCTTTTTTTTTTTTAATTGCTAAGCTACAAAAACTAAATGAAATTGACGGTTTTAATTTAAATGGTGTAAATTCAATCAGATTTAGTTTTAAATCTACAAACTGTCACCTAAGGGATAGAGGACAATGCAGAGACTTTGGCGAGCAAATGAAGGCAAACGCAGATTCTGCTTGACTAGTTTATAAAGTTTTGAACTCCACTCTGTGATAAATGTGTTTATGTATGACTTTATTGCAATAATTTATCATTTAAAAAGTTATTAATGAATACGATTTAAAGTAATCCATTTATTTATGAATATTGTGTAATTATTTAGAAAATTTCCCATGGCAACAATGTAAAATAGTTTGGTATATTTACCTTCAGTCCTCGACTCTTAATGATATTTGGTTTTTGGCCCTTCATACGAAAAAGTTATTTTGCATTTTAAACTCAGAAGAGTATTTATTCATAAGTCAAAACTATTAGTCCTCCTGTGAATTTTCTTTTTCAAATATTTCCTAAATTATGTTTAACAGAGCAAGGAATTTTTCACAGTATTTCCTATAATATTTTTTCTTCTGGAGAAAGTCTGATTTGTTTTATTTCGGCTAGAATAAAATCAGTTTTTAATTCTTTAAAAACAATTTTATGCTTAATATTATTCGCCCTTTTAAGCAAAGTTTTGTCTACAGAACAAACCACTGTTATACAATGCATAATTAACTTGCTCAATTAAACTAATTAGCCTAGTTAAGCCTTTAAATGTCACCTTAAGCTGAATGCTAGTGTCTTAAAAATATTTTGTAGTATTGTCATCATGGCAAATTGAATAAAATATTAAAATAAACCAGTCATTAGAAATTAGTTGTTAAAACTACTGTTTATAAATGTGTAAAAATATATCTTTCTGTTAAACATATACACTGTAAAACCCAAAAAGTTAAGGTAACTCAAACAATCTGAGGAAACCGATTGCAACAAACCATTTAAGTTTAAAAACCAATCCTAATGAGTACTGTGAACTTAATCCATTTGAGTAAATGAATCAATTTGAGCACAGTAAAACCTGATAAATGAAGAGAACTTAAACCAATTGAGTACTGTAAAGCCCAATAAGTTAAGGCAACTCAAACCATTTGTGGAAACTGATTGCTACAAACCATTTGAGTTAAAAAAAAAAAACTAATCTATATAAGTACTGTGAACTTACTCCATTTAAGTTGAAGTGAGTAATGAGGTATTTATTTAACTCATTACCTTCAACACTGACTTCAAAACTCTATTCAAATGAGTAAAATTAACTTTTGTACATTTTAAGTCAACTACACTCATTTCATTTGATAAAGTTGACTTTTTGGTTTTACAGTGTACAAGGGGCTAATTATTTTGACTTAATCTGTCTATACAATTAAAATAACATTTAGTTCGCTAAAACAATTTGGGTGGTTGTTGGAAAAGTTGTATGCCAAGCTAAACAGCTCAACAAGCAAAATAAAGTTGCTTAAAAACCACATCCTGTTCTCAAGAGCTCGTCCATTAGACCAAGGACTATTGCATTACGAATTTGTTCACCTTTGATGAATGCCAAAACTGGGTCCTGGTCGAAAAAAAAAATGTTTCTAAACCTGTTTTAACCACAAAGAATGCCATGGCTTTATTATACTGAAGATGCAAGCATTTTGTGCATAGCTGTAGCTGTGAGCTCAAGAGTTCCCCTATTATCATTGCTGTATAGTTGTTTTAATATTTTCTGAAATCAACAACAGTCTGGATTTTTTTTAACCCTGTGACTCAAACCATGAATCTCAGCTTCAAAACCAAAAGAGACTCTGTACTTTTCAGCCAAGCTCTTTTCATGTTAGTGCCACAGTTAAATTAAACAATCATGAAGATAAAGGTGGTAACATTTTATTTTGATTATCCTTATTGCACATTTTGTTGACTAGAAGTTGCATTGAAACCACATGCCAATTAATTCTTAATTATTATATTAGTAGACTGTCTGCTTAATATCTGTTGATACTGCTCCTTCAACAGACATTTAACTGACTATAAGAAACTTTGCAAGTACATGTCAACTTACTCTCATCTTAACCCCTAACAGTCTACTTATATTCTAATGTGAAATAGTTGCCATGTCGATGCAATGTAACTTAAACTCAACAAAATACTTTAAAGCGACCATCAACATAAAGTGATAACATAAAGGTAAATGAGTTTAACCACTAAAACATTATTTAGTATGTGGCATTTGCCTTTTTATGTCAAATCTTAACAGAAAATGGCTAGTCAAGTGACCTTTACATCATTAGTGCTTCATATAGGCTTTCAGGCTGTCAAAGCAGGTTTACAGGGATGCTGAATACTGATTTAGTTAAAGTTGTTTCAGTTATGATTCATTTCCTTTTAATATGAATGTCTGTTAAAGGATGTGATTCACTGTCACCTTTAGCTTGAGTTGTTGGTGTCGATAAAGCTGCTCTACAGAGCTTGGCACGAATGTCTTAGAAAGATTCCTACAAACTAAAGCATTTAAGGTTTATGCCAGTTTTTTTTTTGTTTTTTTTTTTTGTAAATTTATTTTCCGGGTAGCCTATATTCCTAAAAAAGTGCTTAAATGTATTGGTTGTATAACTACAGAAATATCCATTCTAATATAAAAATATACTACAGAAATTTCCAATATAATATAACCATAAAATGCAAAATATTAGATAAAAGCATCTAAAAAAAGCATCTAAAAAAGCAACTAAAATTAGGTCATTATTTCACTGAAATATGACAGAAGAATATAAAAGTCATATAACATTTACATTTTTTTTTTATATTTAATATGGAAACCGTGGGTGTTGCTAGGCCTAAAATTCAATTCAGCCACCATAAAACCTTTGCGATTAGCTCATAAACTGTACACTAAATCATCGCCTCAGTACCCTTTACATTTGATTTGAAAACAGTGGCAGAATTCAGCTATTTTTATTTCAAAATGAACTACCGATATAAAACACATTAAAATGTGTGTGGCATTAATACCATACCGCTGTGCAGAGAAAGGTTTAAATACAGTGACTGAACCACTTTGTAAATGTCTTCATTTTAACTGTCACTGACAGAGATAGAAACTGTATTAAACTGTATGTTATGTCTTGCATAAAAAAATAAAATAAAATAAAAAAAATCGTATTCATTAATATGATTCTGATCGTGAAATAAGTGAATTACCCTGTAGGTTTAAAAACATTTATGTTTATTCCTATAAGCAATATGCACAGATTTTTAATTTTCAGCCAGGCAGCACAATGGCTTCCGGTAAACTGTCTTTCCATTACAAAATGCCATGTTTAAGATCTGATTTCTTTAAAAATCTTCATTGCCTGTTAGATATATGATATGAACTGGGTCTCAGATTGGACAAGAAGCACTGCATTAAATTCCATTCCCCCCGACATGTCTTTAAAATTTGACAATTTATTTCACCCCAGTATTTTCAATGGAATTTCTGTGCTCACCTGTTGCTACTGACAGTGCTTGTGGTTACATGGTCTTTCGTCTCGTTTTACACTTGGACAACTAAATAAATGCTTAAGTCTATTTAACTGAATGTATTGTAATTACATTACTACATCGGTGCTGTAAAAACAACCTTGTGAAGTTGAAAATAGTCACATTAAGCTTTCACTGGAAGTTTATTGTTGGCTATAAAACTTTAGCTGTGCATAGAGCCCATTAAAAGAGTGGCAATTTCGTTTATTTAATACAAGGAAAAATTAGGCTACTTGAATGTATAAAGTGGTTTGTACTACCTATTTGGCTCATTCAGAACTTAAATGGCTATGTCTGTCTATACAATTCAATCGAATACTGCTAATTTATCATACAACCCTACCATATTGGACAAACATTTTTAAGCGTATTACTATTAAACTATTACTTATAGATGTAATATCAGGCTAATATTAAGGTCACCAACAAATACATTTTTTACAAGCAATAAAATAAAACAAGATATATGTTAAATTTGTACACAAAATTTACCCAGTAAAATAGTTATTTGAATGGTTCAAAGTGGATGCAGAAAGCTTTATGTCGTTAAAGAATCTGACACTTTTTCATAAGCAATTAAATAAAACAAGATATATTTTAAATTTGTACACATGATTTACTTGAATAGTCCAATGTGGATACAGAAAACTTTTTTATGGCGTTAAAGACTTTTTCATAATGCACACAATATTAGGCTACTTTGTCATATTTGCTTTTGTGTTTGATTTAATAAAAGTACAATTTATTTTCTATACAATAATTTTACTTATAATTACGTTATATTTCAGTCATTTATCACATTCATATAACAGTTAAAGAAATGGGCTAAAGCTAAGCCAAATTGTGAGCATTTTATAGGAGATTTAGTGTGATCTTTACACCCCTGGAAACCATGTTTATACCATTTTTATGTACTGTCTGTCAGAATCAGGTCAGAATACACATTTTCATTCTTTTCTTTTCACACTTGCATATAAAAAACAACCGACATTAACGCACTTCCGGTAAACATCTCTCGAGATCAAGTCTGAGCAATAAAATGTTTTATATTATTGTCGCGCAGATGTCCCTTGTTTAATATTGGATATCACGGTAAATAGGTGCGTTCGACATGAAGCTCAGCTGCAGCCGGTGATCAACGAGATTAGCCGAGCGCAGGCGGGGGAGGAGTTGAAAACGGAGCCGTCAAGACGGACAGCTGGACACTTCGGGACTCAAAGTTGCTGCAGTCATGATGACTGATTACATGGCGTCATCATAATTTTTTTGTTATTTTAATTTATA